ACAATGTCACCCTTGTTACATATTAATTTACACATTTGTCACAAAAATATATACATATGTATATCTACATGGTCATATATTTTGGATATACAACCATACTTTTGTACAAACACAAGCATCTATTTTAAGAAGTGTATGATTGATATACTTGAAAATGTTAAGTTGATAGCGTATTCCTTAAACGTTTATTTTGGACACTGCTGATTTATTGTGAAAATACTTTAACAAACCACATTATTTTAAGTCTAGATCATGATCAAATACCATTTTGTAACCATTTTTTAAGTATTTACATAAAATCATAACTTCCTAATTTATGGCAGTACAGTGCAACAAACAATTTTGTATAAATCTCAATTTTTTATGCAGATCTGTTTTCTGAAATTGACATATTTTATTGTTTATTTCCCACTTTGAAAAACTGAAGGAAATAATGTTTTCATTACCATGCTCGGCATATTTGTCTTGTACTGTAAATAAATCGGTCCCATTGCCATTGTAGTATACAGTTTTAAATACAGGTTGTTGTTACTTTTTTTGTGATAGTCATGGAACCTATAGTATATAGCCAATTTAGTCATGAAATTTGTGCACTTGTGTCAAAGACCAGTTACTCTTCATTCAAGTTTTAATGTTTTGATCTCGACATCTTGGATCATAAATTGAAGTTCCGAATTAAATACTGAACAAGTCAGTGACAGAGAATCAAAATTGAAAGAATTGTATTTTGTCACAAATCAATGATGTAACTTATGTGTTGTACTGTATACTAGTATTCTAAAACGTACCAAAGTTGAAAAAATATACTGGCATATTTTACAAACCTTTGATGAATTTATACATACAATGTATAGAAGGTTGTAAAAATTGCATTAAAGTTTTAAAGTTGCAGTTCATCCATATATTTTTAATGCCAAAAATTGACATATAGAAAACTTTAATTCATGTAAATATTTTTGTTGTTCATTGTTTCTTTTTTCATCTAGTCTGTGTTGTTGTTACTGTTAACTTCGTTTTTGATAAATATTATTACCAGTAGTTAGTTTTGATGGATCATTGTACATCTTTGTTTTTGATATGTCATCGTTTATCTGTATCATGTGAAAAAAATGTTCCGTGTTGTACAATAAAATTGTGAAATTGCATCCTCGGTATTGTTTTCTTTGATACTCTTGGCCTTGTCTCTGGCCTTCCTACTGAAGTTACACTTCAAATGCGTACGCTTTACTAAGATTATCACATTATCCCGACCATTCATGTTTTTTTTCTACCATATAAATTATGCTGTTAAAGTTAAGGAAGGTATGTGGTTCTACACTAGTGCCAGCTTATTCCAGAAAAAACACAGGAACACTTGAAGTGTTCCTTCATTACTAAAGCTGGAAAATTGCCAACTTTATAATGTAAATTTGACTTGAAACACATCAAAAATGAAAAGAACTTGAAAATTCAGTTTTAATTTAAATCACCAATTCATCTGTTGATGTAGTTTGTAAAGGATAGCCTCTTTATCAAGAGATCATGTGTTCGAGTTTATGTTTCACGACTGTTTCCTCATATGTGTGGACTGGGAACTCGTGTGGACTCGATAGTGATTAATATAAGTTGCAAGAACTTGTTTCGTAATCGAGCGAAAATAAATATGTTCAAACTTAACTAAACTAATAGGATAGTCAAACTGTATGGGTGACAACAAAAAGTATGTGATATTAATGGTAAATGTGGTGCTTATTACTTGTGTTATGATACCACAACAAATGCCAGTAAATTTTCACAAAATAACCATAGTTCATATTTCTTGAGAGGCGTCGTCAAAATTCATCATAATAAATTTCTATGACTCCCAGCAATGCATAATATCTCAATTTTCTAAGTTTTCAAAAAATTAATAAAAGGTGAAATAAGAGAATGTGATAAGCACACATTTGAGTGACTCTTGATCAGAGAAAAATTGTGTAGCATCTAATGATCTTACAGTATTTGTGTAGCATATTGTAAAAAGAGAAAATTACATAGCATCATATTATGATCTGAGAAAATTTGTGTAGCAGCTAAAGCTCGTACAAAATTTGTGTAGAAACTTATGATCATAAAGAATTTGTGTAGCATATTGTGAAAAGAGAACAATTATGTAGTATCAAATGATCTGAGAAAATTTGTGTAGCAGTTATTTTTACTACACAAGTCAATGTAAAATAATTGTACGCCAGGGTGGGGTCATTTTTGACCACAGGGTATGACATATAACTTGTGTAGGAAATACTGCAAGCTAAATATCTAAGCTCTAGGCATAGTATATATGTACAGAAGATTTAAATGTATTTCCTTATATAAGTCTATATAAATTAAGTGACCCCCTAGGACTGGTCATTTTTGAACCCAGGGGTATGATTTTATATAACTACATGTATATAACTTTTGTAGAGGACCATAAGGTGATGCTACATGCCAAATATCTAAGACTTGCAAATTGGGCATTGTAGTTTCTGAGAAAAAGCCTTTTTTAAGATCTCTTTTTTAAAGTCTACTTTTAGGTCCTGTAACCTACTTAGGCACTAGACTGGTTTGTAGAAGATCACCTTAGGATCTTTCCTCCAAAGTTTGGTCAAAATCCATTAAGCATATTAGGAGATGTTGTTAAATTGTGGACATGCTGCATCCACAAAACCTCACCTCTGACCACTTTGTGCTCAGGTGAGCTAAAAAGGCAAAATATACATGTAAACAAACTATGATTTGTACGTCATCTATTTAAGGAAAAACTTTGTTTTGTTATTTATGTTTTAAATTTGACATGACACAAATAGGTTTACAACATGACAAAAATACTTTCATAAAAAGAACAATATTTATCATGTACATAAATCTTGTAAGTTTATTATTTCATAAAGTATCAATGTATCATAACAGTAGTTGACAGGTTATATGACCCATTATAAGTAATTATATACCAAACAATAATATAAAGTGAGCCATATAACCTATCTAAAGTCTTGACATCAAAATTATAATACTTCACAATTCCTTTATTTGCATGAAAAATAAAATAAAAATGCAGTGGCCATGTATAAAGATAAGGTTCTTGGGTGTCCTAGACTTGACCACTTTCAACATTGAAATTTGATTAAGTAGAAAAAAATGTATATACATGTATCTTATACAGTCAAAAATGCTTATAGTGTTGAATAATGTTCCCCAAAAGATTATAAACTGTCTCCATAATGAAGTAACGGGTTAACTCCAATTAGATTATATAAAGAGTTAACCTATTACTGCACAAAGTTTAGGAAATGTTACAATAATGAAATGAAAATTCACAAAACAAATATGGCAATATATGCAATACTAGTATCAATATTAATATTATACACAGAAGATAACTGTTCAGTCTGTAATTATGTATTTTAAACAAGGTAACAACAAAATTTTCTGAATTTTCAGCTTGAAGGTCAAAGCTGTTTATAAGGGTCAAGGTCATATTTCAGTTTGGATAATCATCACTACAATCTGACTAGAAATGCTAAATTTCAGCATTTTCATAACAAAATCCCAAACATTGACCTTGAATAGTTTCAGATTTTCAGCATGACAATTCCATTATAAAAAAAGAACAGCGTAAGGGTCAAAGGTAAAAATTAAAATTTAATGATTGTACATGTATCAATATATAACCATGTACACTGGATATATTCTGGAACAAAAACTACACATGTTTCACTTTAATTAAGTTTGACTATATATACACTAAACCAAGGCAAAAAATGCAGAATAGAACAAATATGATTGCCAAATATACCACATTTAATTTTAAGGAAGTGTGAGTACAGGTTGTGTAACAGTATTCTAATTATAAATTACTAGTGATAACAGTTATTTTCATTTTTCTATATTATGGGCTGCAATCATATAAGAATCTTACACTGGCTGCTCAAGGGATAACTGTGAATGTCTGTAATGTGACTTTGTCGAGTTTCCGCTTTAAAGTTAACCGACAGATATTCCAGTATGTAACTGCAACTGGTGTTTGTTTCTTTTTCTTGCATATTACATATAAATAATATTTCAGATAAAAAAAATAATGAAAATGAATATTCCATAAGCACTTTTTAATGATAGTAGCATTTTTAGCATGTAACTTGTCTTACTAAGGGGGTATAAAACAGGTTATTCCAGCACTGAAGTATAAACAGTAGAAAATCTGATAATTTGATATGCAAAAATAAAGTATTTACCTCAATATGAACCAAATGTTCCCTTTTGTCCTTTTTACCATGGAATTCAAAATATTCAGGCTTTACTTCAAGTTTGTCTATCAAAACACTAGCCAAAAGAGAAAGAAACTTTAAGTCATGGCCGTCCAGCAAAAGTAAAATTAATTTCCAAGGTCATGAACGTTGAAAATGCTGATTATCATTTTGTATTTATAACTTATGAAGTGGCAGTGCTTCTTGTAGAAGGTGAAAAAAAGAGACCTCAAAAAGTTAACTTATTCCCTATATTAATTATTCAGAAAGGGACATAAAAAAGTATGTACAATTAATTTTGATTTTATGATGAAAAGAATACAACAAAAAGACAACATATTTAAGTAAAAGATGGTTAAGTAATAGACGGTTTTAAGAAAACAATAAACAATCTAAACAGCAAAAAAATAATATAAAGTGACTGACAGTAGCTGTTGAAATCATTTAATATTTTCCTTGACTGACTTGATCAATGACCTATTTTTCCAAGGTTTGCAACGTTTATCCCGACAGTTGTAAGAAATTAATGAATAAACTGTAAAATATACTTTATTGAAGAGAGTTTATCGGAAACAGAAGTGAGGAATCTTCAAATCAATGCCTTCTAATTGGTTGAAAAAGATTAAATAATGCTATTTCATTGTTTTTTTATACAGATCTTGAATGTAATATCATCAACAACAGAAATGAAATTTATCAATTAAATCAAAAAGAGTTCATTCGTTTTGAATGTATTTCATGTAAAGTGGTAATCATTTTTTATTCTTCTTACCAAATGCACCACATGTTTTTGTTTTGGCAAACTTGTATAACACTGTTCTCACTTAAGATGTCTGTTGTAAATATGCCTACGCAGTGGACAGACGAAGTAACAGGCATTCAACTTCATCAAATATCATCAATACTCTTAAATGCTATAACCCAACTAAGACATCTTCTCCATTACACATTTAAGGATTCTACAACATGTACACAAATCTTTGATAAAGGTGGGTCATTAATTGAAGTATTATGCTCATTATTCACTTTCCACATTCAAATACATGTATACAGCACCATACAATATTTCCTTCCACATTAAGAATTTAACCAACTGATTGCTGTTCAATAATCATGCTATCTCCTTGTTCTATTTTGTTGATTTTGACCTTGAACTTGACCTGGTTGTTGACCTCTATTCTGACCTTGACCCTGATTTGGGTTTCTCGCAGCAACCCCAGCTGTCCCTTGAAACTGCTGTTGACCTCTGTTTGAGTTCTGACCATAGTTTGGCCTTTGACCTTGACCTGTCTGACCTTGAGGTCTTTGTTGTCTGTTTGAGTTGAAGTTTTGACCATTGCCTGAAATTGATCAAAGATTAAAAATTACATTATTCAAAGTATGGCTTTACATGTGACTTTGAAAACTGACCAACTAAACTGAAGAAATATACAGAAAAGGAATATGTACATTTGTTTAAAATAATGATTTTTGAACTACATAGTACTCATTATTACCACACTAAATCATATTTTTATTATACTAAGGCAACTTCACTGAAAACTATTTTCTTTACACAAATTTGTGTGCTTATATTCAATAATGATGATCATATATATCATGCACAATGAAACAATTGGAATTTCTAAATTGTGATAAATAAAAGTATAACATACCCATCTGCCTTTGACCCTGAGGGGTGGAGTTCCTCACAGGGGGAGAGCCACGCCCACCTGGGTTGTTCAGACCTGCCATGGTACTTTGAGCCTGATTGCTGTCAAGTTCTGTGGGAGACTTCCTTTGATTGGCTTGTTGTTGTTGTTGTTGTTCCTATATAAAATATATGTAAATATGTCGTTATACTAATTCATGCAGGAATAAGTAATGTAACATTTTTGGCTGAAATTAACATCATCAAGCTTATTGAACAAAAGGAACACACAGCGCAGCCTCAAAACTTAAACACTTTATCAAACTTTCTGAAATCAAGTAAATACCACAGTTTAACACATTACATTACCTGAAAAAATGTGACAACAGTAAAATGACCAAAAACTGAATTCTTAAAGTTTACCGAATAAAAGGTTGTTAACCGTTAACAGATCATTGTATTTACTTATCTGAAAATCTATTCTTTCAGACATACATGTTGTTACTGCATGAATAATGTCACTGAAAAGTCCAAAGTTAATTTATATACAGGTTTAACTGTACTTGAAACGTTTGATAATATTAACAACAAGAGCTGTCCATAAGACAGTGTGCTCATTTGTTTGTTTCATTTTTACGCCTTTTCCCAACAGTATTTCAGTCATATAGGCGGGTAGTTTCCTAACCATCGTTCCTGGAGAGTTACACCAGTACTTGACTACCTTCCTCCGCACTTAACTACCAAAGCATCTCCCAGGGATCAACCCCAACTGGATTAGAAGTCATCGACTCTAACCCCTCGACCATGGAGGCGGTTACAGCGTGCTTGACTACATGTACTATCAGCTGTCCAGTTTCGGCACAGGACCTGTTCTGACTCATTCAACGTTGTTTTTGTAGAACACTGGCAATTTATAAGAAAATGAACTGCCAACAGATGGTTAGACACACATTGCATTATATTATCAACAAAAACATAAAATTCAAATGTAAGAAATATTTCAATGAAAATGTCATTGAAGAAACCAGAACTGTTCCTGTACCAAAACAAGTTACTTGATTGTATTTTCAGTGTTGACTGTAACCTCCAAAAAAATTCATGTCTTACCCTGATTCAAAATAAAAAAAGTAAATTTTAAAGCATGTTTGTCTGCTTTCCCCGAGTCACAAAGGTATGACAATCATTCCAATTGAATAAGTTTTAATTTTTCCACCCCCATCCCAAATGAAATTTTCGATACCCAAAAAAGGGACAAATTTGCTACCCAAAAGAAGATTTTCAACCTTTTCTTTCAAATTCATTGCATTTAAAAATTTTGGGTTTACTTGCATTAGTTAGAATAAACAACAATTCAAAATACTATGCTGTAAGAGCCTGAAAGGAGGTGTCAAAAAGTACCAAATATTTTTTCTGATTAAGAAGTTATCATCACAAAATTTTTCAAACTGGGCTGGGTACTTTTTCCCAAAATGGCTAGGAAAAGACTGTAAGTGTTTGACTTACTTTGGCAGCGGCTTGTTGTTGAGCATACTCAGGATTTGGCTCACTCATGTTTGGCATTTCAGAAAACTGCATACAGAATCTGAAAATGTCATAGAAGTATTACACAAAATACTTTTTAAAGGTGCATGGTCTGAAGTAGGCCTTACAAATTCTGTGACTCAATTTCATAAAAAATGCAAAATATAATACTCATATATTACTTTGAAAAGTCTAGAAAAACTGTAACAAACTAGAACTGTGCCCAAAGGACACAGATGCCCCCACTGACAACATATATATGGTATATAGTTGAAAAAATATGCCGTTGCAAAAATTTCTATATGGTATATCGTGAAAAATCAACAAAGGGCCATAATTCTGTTAAATTTGGTTGCAGCAAAAAATTGCTTCCTTTCACTACCATCTACACATTAAGGTTGTTCATCCCTGGAAGTTTAAAGCAAAAATCTGCTATCCGGTTTAAAGTAGAGTTGCGTTCAACAACGATTTTCGGACGGAGGACTGGCGGACGGATCAAGTGCAACGCTAAATGCACCCCACTTTGTGGGGGATAAAAAATAATGAGACATGCAACCAACAAAGCACTGTTCAATTTGGTTTCCAATTGACAGCTGATAAATCCCAAAGCATACATTAATACTGTTAAATAAAAGTTTATTAATCATCACTGCAAATTTTTAAGACCATGCTATATCATGTCCCAGTAAGTAACAAAAGGGAGCAAGAGCTGTCAGTAGGACTGGACAGCATGATCAACTGTATGATGTAGACTTTTCAAAGCTCAAAAAGGACCATAATTCTGTCAATAATTCAAGTAAGAGTTATGGTTCTTAGACAGTGACCTATTATGCATTCAAATAAGTGTGTGAAGTTGAGATACCGGTACCTACTTCTAACCAAAGTGTGAAGGTGATGCCTGAATGAATACATTAGCTCTCCCTGTTATTCAAATAATCAAAATAAAATGAAAGCAAAAATAATGAAGTTTCAGGACTCCAAATGGAAAACATATTATTCAATATTACATACTCTCCAATCTTGTTGATGCCTCCATTTTTCCCTGCATACAATGTCAAACAGTTCTTAAATATATTTGTGTACCTAGAAAATAATAGAAAGTATACTAAATGTCAAAAATTTGTTATTTTAACAGTTTTAAGTAATGGACACTTTTACTAATCTTTTGACTCCAGTTTGTGTAATGTAAGACTTAGATACAATTTTTGTCTATTGTATAAAAAGTACTTATATTATGAGTAGAAAAATGATGAGTGGAACAATGATGTGTGGAACAGTGATGAGTTAAACAATGATGAGTGGAAAAATGATGAGTGGAACAATGATGAGTGGAACAACGATCAATGGAACAATGATGAATATAACAATGATGAGTGGAACAATGATGAGTGGGACAATGATGAGTAGGACAATGATGAGGGGAACAATGATGAGTAGGACAATGATGAGTGGAACAATGATAAATGGAACAATGATGTGTGGAACAGTGATGAGTTAAACAATGATGAGTAGGACAATGATGAGTAGGACAATGATGAGTTGGAACAATGATGAGTAGGACAATGATGAGTGTGATCAATGATGAGTTGGAACAATGATGAATATAACAATGATGAATGGAACAATGATGAGTGGGACAATGATGAGTAGGACAATGATGAGTGGAACAATGATGTGTGAACAATGATGAGTTTGACAATGATGAGTGAAAAAAGGTGAGTTGGACAATGATGAGTGGAAAAATGATGAGTGGAACAATGATGAGTGGAACAACGATCAATGGAACAATGATGAATATAACAATGATAAGTGGAACAATGATGAGTGGGACAATGATGAGTAGGACAATGATGAGGGGAACAATGATGAGTAGGACAATGATAATGGAACAATGATGAATGGGACAATGATAAATGGAACAATAATGAGTGGAACAACGATGAGTAGGACGATGATGAGTTGAACAATGATGAGTAGGACAATGATGAGTGGAACAATGATGAGTGGAACAATGATGAGTGGAACAATGATGAGTGGAACAATGATGAGTGGAACAATGATGAGTGGGACAATGATGAGTGGGACAATGATGAGTAGGACAATGATGAGTGGAACAATGATGAATGGAACAATGATGAGTGGAACAATGATGAATGGAACAATGATGAGTGGAACAATGATGAGTAGGACAATGATGAGTGGGACAATGATGAGTGGGACAATGATGAGTGGAACAATGATGAGTAGGACAATGATGAGTGGAACAATGATGAATGGAACAATGATGAATGGAACAATGATGAATGAAACAATGATGAATGGAACAATGATGAATGGAACAATGATGAATGGGACAATGATGATTGAAACAATGATGAATGGAACAATGATGAGTGGGACAATTATGAGTAGGACAATGATAAATGGAACAATGATGAGTTAGGACAATGATGAGTGGAACAAATGATGAGTAGGACAATATGAATTGGAACAATGATGAATGGTGACAATGATAAATGGAACAATGATGAGTGGAACAACAATGAGTAGGACAATGCATGAGGGAACAATGATGAGTAGGACAATGATGAGTGGAAAAATGATGAGTAGGACAATGATGAGTGGAACGATTATGAATGGGACAAAGATGAGTGGAACAATGATAAATGGAACAATGATGAGTGGAACAATGATGAATGGGACAATGATGAATGAAACAATGATGAATGGAACAATGATGAGTGGGACAATGATGAGTAGGACAATGATGAGTGGAACAATGATGAGTAGGACAATGATGAGTTGGACTATGATGAGTGAAACAATGATGAATGGAACAATGATGAGTGGGACAATGATGAGTAGGACAATGATGAATGGAACAATTATGATTGGGACAAAGATGAGTGGAAAAATGATGAGTAGGATAATGATGAATGGACATTTATAAATGGGACAATGATGAGTTGGACAATGATGAATGAAACAATGATGAATGGAACAATGATGAGTGGGACAATGATGAGTGGAACAATGATGAATGGAACAATGATGAGTGGGACAATGATGAATGGGACAATGATGATTGAAACAATGATGAATGGAACAATGATGAGTGGGACAATTATGAGTAGGACAATGATAAATAGAACAATGATGAGTAGGACAATGATGAGTGGAACAATGATAAGTAGGACAATGATGTTTGGCACAATGATGAATGGGACAATGATAAATGGAACAATGATGAGTGGAACAACAATGAGTAGGACAATGATGAGTAGAACAATGATGAGTAGGACAATGATGAGTGAACAATGATGAGTAGACAATGATGAATGGAACAATGATGAATGGGACAATGCATGAATAAACAATGATGAATGGAACAATGATGAATGGGACAATGATGAGAATGGGACAAATGATGATTGAAACAATGATGCAATGGAACAATGATGAATGGACAAAATGATAAATGGAACAATGATGAGTGGAACAACAATGAGTAGGACAATGATGAGGGGAACAATGATTGAGTAGGACAATGATGAATGGAACAATGATGAATGGGACAATGATAAATGGAACAATGATGAGTGGAACAACAATGAGTAGGACAATGATGAGGGGAACAATGATGAGTAGGACAATGATGAGTGGAACAATGATGATTAGGACAATGATGGAGTGGAACAATGATCAATGGAACAATGATAAATGGAACAATATGAGTGAACAATGATGAATGGGACAATGATGAATGATAAACAATGATGAATGAACAATGATGAGTGGGACAATGATGAGTAGGACAATGATAGTGGAACAATGATGAGTAGCGACAATGATGAGTTGGACTATGATGAGTGGAACAATGATGAATGGAACAATGATGAATGGAACAATTATGATTGGGACAAAGATGAGTGGAAAAATGATGAGTAGGATAATGATGAATGGAACAATTATAAATGGGACAATGATGAGTTGGACAATGATGAATGAAACAATGATGAATGGAACAATGATGAGTGGGACAATGATGAGTTGGACAATGATGAGTGGAACAATGATGAATGGAACAATGATGAGTGGGACAATGATGAATGGGACAATGATGATTGAAACATTGATGAATGGAACAATGACGAGTGGGACAATTATGAGTAGGACAATGATGAAGGAACAATGATAAGTAGGACAATGATGAGTGGAACAATGATGAGTAGGACAATGATGAATGGAACAATGAATGAATGGACAATGATAAATGGAAACAATGATGAGTGGAACAACAATGATTGGACAATGATGAGTGGAACAGTGATGAGTAGGACAATGATGAGTGGAACAATGATGAGAAGGACAATGATGAATGGAACAATGATGAATGGGACAATGATAAATGGAACAATGATGAGTGGAACAACAATGAGTAGGACAATGATGAGTGGAACAATGATGAGTAGGACAATGATGAGTGGAACAACAATGAGTAGGACAATGATGAGTGAACAATGATGAGTAGGACAATGATGAGTGGAACAATTATGAGTGGAACAATGATCAAGTGGAACAATGATAAAAATCGGAACAATGATGAGTGGAACAATGATGAATGGGACAATGGATGAATTGAAACAATGATGAATGGAACAATGATGAGTGGGATAATGATGAGTAGGACAATGATGAGTGGAACCAATGATGAGTAGGACAATGATGAGTATGGACTATGATGAGTGGACAATGATGAATGGGACAATGATGAGTGGAACAATGATGAGTAGGACAATGATGAATGGAACAATTATAAATGGGACAATGATGAGTGGAACAATGATGAATGGAACAATGATGAGTGGAACAATGATGAAACTGAATGGGACAATGATCAATGGGACAATGATCAATGGAACAACAATGAATGAAACAATGATGAATAGAACAATGATGAATGGAACATATGATTCAATTATTTTGATATTTTACAAATTTAAGTAATGGTTTTTTTCAAAATTGAAAGACGGACAAGTTCATTTGAGATATTTAGCATGCTAATAGTTAATAAAACAAACTAGTAGACAATGTTATTTTTAGTTGCACACTGATGAATAATTCATACCCCTTCACAAGACGGCAAATATCCCCAGTCAGGATCATCTCCCCTATATCATCCCATATTGATATATTAATACTTCCTGTCTTATCAGCCACTTTACATGATCTTACAGTGTGGTTGTCTTTTGTCCGTGTAGGTGCACCTGTAAAATTCAATACAAAATATAAGCTGTGTTTGAAAATTACTTGCTTTGTGTACTCATGGTGACATTTAGGCAGACCGACAATGTTAAGGCCTTTGCTATCTCTTAAAGAACTTGGCTAGTTTGTATTTCTTTTCAAAGTTATTACTATTTAAAAGTATTAAATAATGTTACTGGTGCAAAAGAGTAACAGAATGTTACCTACATGTATCTAATTTCTGTGCACAATTAGAATATTCATCAGCTGTAGCTCATTCGGGAAGAAAAACCTATTTTTAGCAACAGAAACCTTTACTTTTAACAAAATGACTTCACATTCTCAGAAAGAGGTCCAAAGCTAACATAACTATATACCATATATGAAAGATATTGATCATTATTTTTAATATTTTATGAACCCTCTATAAGAAAGTAAAAATATCTAATATTAGCTTTGATGACCTTGCCCTTAACTGTATTAAAACACAGGTGTACCATGTGTAGCTATGTCAGGAAGTGGTACCCCCACCCGACCTTTCTAAAAGCCAAAAAATATTTATACAAAATAAAATTATTTAAAACATAAAAATTATCATTGATGTATCACAGGTCAGTTAATTATAACGTTAATATATATTAATTATGTTATTTCAGATAGATAGTTAGCTGGACTTTTTATATCAAATGTGAGTAATACAGAGAAAAAACATACTACAAGTAGAGCTGTCAGCGATAGAGACAATATTGATTTATCCTTGATATTTTTCTGTTGATCAATAATCGATACACATTTTAAAAAATCGATGATTTTGACTAATTAATTAAATGTCAAGAAATTATGAAAATTCACCCAAAACATATACAGAAGCAGTAACTGTTATCCATGTCTAACATTATGCTGTTAGTTATATAAGTTGAAATATTTCACAGCAATGATGTCAAAAAGATACGGTCTGGAAAAAAATCATGTCATGGGCTTTTATAAACAAGACACTGAACAAAACATGTTTTAAACTGAAGTCATTTAAACAGGTATGAAAGTGAATGACAGACAAGTTATTGTTATTATCGATATATTGGTGTATCGTTGATATCTGTCATCCAATATCGATATATTGGTGTATCGTTGATATCTGTCATCCAATATTGATATATTGGTGTATCGTTGATATTTGTCATCCAATATTGATATATTGTTGATATGCTTTGCACTGAATCAATGACAGCTCTAACTATAAGTATATTGTAGTTACATTATCAACGTTATAACAATCAAAAATTAAAATCATATGATATGCACAATGTATAATATGAAAAATGGTTTACCGATTTCCAAAATGATAAAGATCACGTTAAGGTTTTTCTGTGCCGGTTTAATATCCTTGATATAAACATACTGGAGCCCGTCAGTCATCTGTTCCTGAAACATTAGACGTTTTTTATTACATGCTTTTCGGTGGTTTATAGAAATATATCAGTGATATAAAACTGGTAATTTCACTGTTTGAAACAGTGAAATTACCACTTTGATAATTTCACTGTTTTGAATTTAAGCCCCTTACGTTGTTTTAGTGAAATACCAGCGTGCACACAGTACTGGGTACCAATTAATGAGTGACGTCGGTAAATGACGTCACGTTGTATTATTATTTGGCGCGCTTTTTCATTCAGTATTAGGTTAAATGTCTATTTGTAAAACGTTTCTTTTGCATATAATAAAAAGAAAATTTGTTAGTTTAGTGTAAAATTGAAATATATTTCACCTGTGAACACCAAAAGTTCATATTTCACTCGTGCCTGCGCCACTTGTGAAAATATACCTTTGGTGCTCACTCGGTGAAATATATTCCGATCTTTACACTGAACTAAACAAAATCCTCTATATAATATCTGTATTTAACATAGATCACTAACAACATGTGCACTGGTCAAGTGTAATCTGTCATATCAATGACTTAAGGCTTTAATTCTTTGCAATCATTAAAAAACTGGGTCAATTCAGGCCCTCTGAATATTGTCACATGGTTTTAATCATCATTTGTAAATTTGTTTTTGTTTTTCTGGATTTTAACACCGATTTTAATATTTTAACCCATGTTTTTGTATATATCTCTACAGCTGATCCACCTAACTGGCTTTCCTGTATAAGTAACCAGTAATTACCAATTTCTCTGCAAGTGAACAACAACTAATCCCACATATTTCTGAATCTTCGGTAAGAGACCAATGACAAATAGTCTCAATGATGAAGATCAGTCACAGGGAAATAACGCCTTCTGACAGGATTAAACCTGGGCGTTGTGCTAAGCATTTACTGAACAGAGTCGCAAACTGTGTAGTTTGGTCATTTGTGAATTGTAGTGTGAGTCCTGCAAACTTTAAGACAGGAGCTCTTCGTATCTGCCTATATTTACCAAAAGCAAAAGACATTTAACAATATCCTAATGAAACTTATTTTTTGTACTTGCAAACGAAAAAATATATCAAGGGACAAAGTTTTACACTATAAGACCATCTATGTAGACTCTCATATGAGTTTGTAAAATCGGCCGGTCTTGAAGTTGAAATATTGAGACTATAGTGTAGGCACTATAAAAAAGTTGTTACCCTGTTATTAACAGTCAATTGGTTTTACTGGTTTCCTAGCAGTTTCCTACCCCTAGCAGTTTTCCGGCCCTTTGTAATTTTTGTCCAGTACAGTCTATTTTTACCAGTAGGGCATCTATGTTGCTTCATTAAATCAGAGAGGAATTAGTTTTCAATGCAACACAGCAGTTAAAATAATACAGCAATTTATATGTTTTGAAGTTTTGTCTGTTGTTTAAAGTTACCTTAAAGAACATGCAACATTTAAAAATAAACACCACCTGGGGACAGGGTTTGAAAGTTCCACCCGTCCGCTCATATTTACAAGTAGACATCGATGCAGAACAAGTGGAAATTTGTCAATGTAATAGAAAGCTAGAATTTTTAAAACCAGTTTGTTTACATTTAATGATGGAAAACCGGAAAAAAAGCTTGTGTTTCAGGTTAAGTATATTTAGCGCACTTTATAATATAAAGCTCTGAACGCACTGTTAATTGGATACGGGTGCGGACAATGCCCTTTACATCTAAAGTGCTCAATTTATGCATAACCTAAATCACAAGCTTTGTTTCCAGTTTTGGTTTATTACATTTATGTAAATGCAAAAATTGCAGGACGAGTAGAAATTTGAAGCCCGTGACTTTTCCTGCAGAATCTAATTTGAATGGCCATGAGAAATAACTGATACGCAGGTAAATCAAAACTTTTGAACAATATATTGCAGATGACGTGGAAAAGGTTGGATAGTTTTATTTCTTTGATAAAATCAACGTTTCTTACTGGTACTGAATTAGACATACATGCCATAACGTCCCGGATGTCCGGGACAGTCCCGGAAATAAGGTGTCTGTCCCGGAGGTATCCCGGAGATGATTTATATCCCGGTAAAAAAAATCTAAAATAATCTACTTTGAAGCAAGAAATTTTACATTTTTATATAATTTTATTGTCAAGTTTTTATAAACTAGTCTAGAACGCTAATAACGAACGATTATCCCCTAACAGCATTGCAATGGCGACATTAATCCTTTGATTGGTATATCTACGTGCCCCTTCCAACAAACAATTATCAGCAATAATTTTGATCAATTAAAAGATTAAATGTTTACCCCCTGTGGCTTCCTGAGTGAAGGTGTCATACACTGTAATTAACAACTGGAGGCAGTTATTAGTGGTCAAACACCGTAAAAATTACTGCTTAATATGAGGTGATGAAATCTACAAGATTCAAGAAATGTTTCAGGTAAACGACATGGCTAATTGTCATAACTTAACATAGCTTTATTCTATTCTGTGACTGATTGAATTAACAATGCCTAAATACTTAAAAAAAGATAGAAAAACTGTTAATAATCACTGACATTCTGTCTTTTGATTTTCGTGTCATTAAATTTGCAAGTTGTAAATACCGGTAATATAGGTTGTATGCCAATATGTAAATTAAAAAAAAATACGTTTGCTGATCAATGCCCCACCTCCAAATGAAAAGTGTCCCGGAAATGAGTCTAAAAATTATGAATTAGGAATTAGATCTATATTCAAAATTAAAAAAAGGCCGTAAAACTGCTATGAAGTTTTGAACAAACGTGGGAAAAGGTGTTATATACAGATCTATATTCCAATTAAAAGGTAAAGTAAAACAGCAACATTGAAAAATGGTTATGCTTGACAGGTACACTGTACCTAACTTTGTTAGGTCAAAGTTTTGTGTTTGTCTGTAGACAGATTATTATTATAATTTCTTGAAAAGTGCAATTTGGGGCCGGAAACCACAGACACTTGGGGTGTGAAGCTTAAAACGGCTTAAAAAGCCAGCAACTATCGACCGGTATCCCTCACCTGCATAGCCTGCAAGATGCTGGAGCACATCATCGTTACCAACATAATGAATCATCTGGATAGTCACAAGATACTCACCGACAGCCAGCATGGATTTAGAAGAAGGCGGAGCTGCGAAACCCAGCTACTAACGCTGACAAATGAGCTCAGAGCTCACCAAGTCCATGGACCGGCGTAAACAACATGACCTCGCTGTACTGGACTTCAGCAAAGCCTTCGACCGCGTCCCACACAGTCGCTTGCTTGTCAAGCTCCATCATTATGGCATCAGAAACCATACCCTGAAGTGGATTGAGGCATTTCTCACAGGCCGCACTCAGCGCGTAGTTGTTGATGGAGCAACGTCCGACCCAGCACCCGTTATCAGCAGAGTCCCCCAGGGAAGTGTGCTCGGACCCATACTCTTCCTGGTCTTCATCAATGACCTGCCACTTTATGTCACGTCCAAAGCCAGACTCTTTGCTGACGACTGTGTGGTATACCAGGAAATCAACACTGAAGAAGACTGCCACGTTTTACAGGATGACCTGAAGAAGTTGGCATTGTGGGAGAAACGCTGGGGCATGAGTTTCCATCCAGAGAAGTGCAGCATAATCAGGGTCCACAGGAAGAGGAACCCCATCATATACCCGTACTCCTTGAAGGGCCACACACTCGAGATAGACTCGATAACCAAGTACCTCGGAGTCCATATGTCTGGAAACCTCTCCTGGAATCAACATGTTGACAAGATCGTGAAGAAGGGCAACAGTACACTCGGCTTCCTTCGACGCAACCTGCGCATCAGCAATGAACAGGTCAAGAGTACAGCCTACATGTCACTCGTGCGACCAGGCCTTGAATATTGCTCCACCATCTGGAACCCTTATACCAAGGACCTTACACGCAAGCTCGAGATGGTCCAGAGGAGAGCTGCAAGATAAGTGACGAACCGTTACCACAACACAAGCAGCGTATCCTCAATGATCCAACACTTAGAGTGGAAGTCATTAGAGTCAAGACGGACCAAAGCCCAGCTGACCATGATGTTCAAGATCACCAATGACCTTGTGGACATGCCAGTCAGCAATTATCTTACCCCTGCCCCGAGCCGCACTAGAAAAGACCACTCCAAGAAGTTCCATCTACCATCCACATCTACATCGTACTACAAGAACTCCTTCTTCCCTCGTACAGCCACAATATGGAACAGCTTACCTGCCTCCGTTGCAGAGGCCCCTGACTTGGTATCCTTCAAGCAGGGGCTATCAGCCCTCACATTCTAAGTCGCCTTATGGGCCCAGCTACAAGTACCCACTAGTGATATCCAAGGCTGTGCCGGCAGCGGCCACCGTAACCGGAGAGGTTTGGGTTGAAGAGGCGAAATATAGCTGGCCATACTTTTTGTCTATATCTCTACTGGTTGGGGACCATCAAAACCGGACAACCACCAAACCCGGACGGCCCCGAAAATGCTTAATTTAGTATTTTCTTTGTTCAGTGGATGTCAGTCACTTTTTTATCAACAATAAGTGCATGTTTCTTTTAAAATTAAGTAAATAAATTTATTTCAACCTCTGTAAAAGGTAATATTATAATGTCTATTTCAAGAATGTTACCATTGAAATTCGGGGGTCAAGAAAGCAATGCCTGACCTCATATACCAGCTAAAATCATTTGCAGAGTGAATAATAGAATATCCAAAACTTCAGCATTTGTTGCTGACATATTGTATATCATGTTACAAATCAAAAATCAAAATACCCAAGCTTTTATCTGAATTAAATCACATCATGTACATATCTGTCCGGACATATGGTACTGTAGTGTAGACAATTTAGGTAATTTTGATACCCTCATTGTCGAGCCTCAGATATAAGTGTCAATACAATCAGAAATAAACAAACTAGTTTGTTAGTTAGGAGAAGAACCTAGCTGAACTGTGTCAAATTTGTTCGTCTTTAGGTTAAAAATTATGAAATCTGTATGGAAAAATGTTCCAAAAGTGTCCGGTTGATGGTCTCCGACCAGTACCTTTGTACTATCCAACCTCTTCTAACTTTTATCATTTCTTGTATATTTCTTTTTCTTGACCTAGCACCACCCGTCGCGTCATAATCAAGTGTGATTGCGCCGACGTACAATGTAGATGTAGAAAAATCCTAATAAAATGTACATTTGTACTGATCATATATATCAGAAAAAATATAGACGTTGAAATATGAATTTTTTTCAAAATGCTTATATTAAGTTTTTTTGATATATATGATCAGTACATGTGCTGGGATTGACAAATATACATTTTATTTGGATTTTAAAGGCGTTTTAAGCTCCACACCCCAAGTGTTTGCGCCGGAAACTGCAAGGAAACTAGTAGATCTATTTTCAGATTATCGTAAATAGTAAAATGAATATTAATGTTAAAAACCAACAACTTTAAACTTTACCTGCAGAGTGTACAGCGTGAAATAATGTATTTAACGACTTTAAAACCGGTTTCAATAAAAAAAGTTACAAATGGAGTTTTATTTGCAAAGGGAAGTAATCATTAAATGCCCTGATAATTATTCGGCCTACTTCGTATTCATGATACCCAACATTTATTGATTATGTCGAAAATATAAATAAATGTTGGGGCCTTAATAAGGCATTTTTTCATCATTTGAGACAATGAATAGGGGGGGGGGGGGTTGAAAAAGGTTTTAAAAGGCGTGTATATCGAGTTATGGGTTAAAACACTGCATTTAATTATCCATTACAGGGAGAGCATATATAAATTTAACCTTATTAATTCTATGAATTTGATTTTTCAGGGGGGGTATTTTTATACAACATTAAATGAAACTGGTTAATAAAAATATGATTAAAATATAAAAAAGTTAATTTTAAGCTAATGTCACCTAAAAATGTTAAAACTGTTGATTTAAAATTTACTTATTTATTTTCATGAATTCATATGCCATGTATCCCCACAGTTTTTTGTTTTGTTTTTTTCTTACAACAGCTAAACAATGGATGACCCCTAAAACTTGTTATGTAATTATCCAATAAACCATTTAGGTGTCACCTTCCCTGGCCTGTCTGGTCATATGGTCTAGTGCACTAGAAGTGCACACGATGTGCACTTCAAGTTCAGCTCAAGTGCACTAGAAGTGCACAAGTGTGGGAAGTTTAGTGTGAACTCACTACTTTTGGATAAACCCTCAGCAATTTTTTTTTTCACAAAACACGCAATAAAATACTCTTTCAATACAAGCAAAGCTACTATCAATCTACTTTAATCCTGATTTTCATATTTGTGTACATGAATATTGTTATGATATTAAGGTCAGATAACTCTTTACATGTTTAGTTGTACAGTTAATGGGATTACTTCCATTTACTTGATAGTTATATATATGATTATGCCTCTCTGATACCTGAGTAGGGGCCTCCGTGGCCAAGTGGTTAAGGTCGCTGATTAAGGTCGCTGGCTTACGGAAGGTCGGTGGTTCTACCCAGGTGCCCGCTCGTGCCAGAAATAATGCCCGAAGGGGCACCTGGGGTCTTCCTCCACCAATAAAGCTGGAAAAAAATCGACGAAAAAATCTCGGCGGGACGCTCTAGGATGGCCCGACTTGAGTGTACGGTCGCCCATATGGGCTTTCCGGCGGCGACCTTAAATAAACGCATTAAAAAAAAAGATACCTGAGTCATTCATAACATATATCTGCACTTAAATACAGGGGAAGTTTCTTTTTTTGTTCAGTATCATTCGGAACAGCCTCGGCTATTATTTATAATAACCTCGGAAACAATACCGAATGAAAGAAGTTCTACCGCGTGGTTTCTGATGTAAACATAAACAGAGATAATTTAAAACGAATGTATATATTTGGCATGTAATGTCTGTTCCGGTACTCTTTTGCTTGAAAATATGTCTGACAACAATTTGTAATTTTAATATGTCCAATGACATTCAATTTTAAACAAAACCGACTAAATGTCAACAGGTTGAATTTTTGTACTTTCGGTTTCTACAACCATATTAAATATATATATATATATAATGTATTGTTTGCTTTTGTACCTATGAATTCACTTATTTTAGGTGGACTTTTACTACATATAAAAGGTAAAGGTCTTGTTTATTATAGTGTCACCCCTACTGAAAGGGCCAGCCATTTTGACTTATGAGACACCTTTTTGGTTGCATACCATATCCCAGATAGCAGACAGTAGTTGGCCCAACGTTGGGCCAATTACATTTGCTTTGTTGGCCCAACACATAATGCCAACGTTGGCCCAATGTCAATTTGCTAATTGGGGCAACGTTGGGCCAACGGTTGGTATATGGTTGGCCCAACGACTGCTTTCCTACTCTTATCGTTGGCCCTCCATTGGCCCAATGACTGGTTTTCCTTCCTATCGTTGGCCCTCTGTTGGCCCAACAACTGGTTTCCCTTCTTCTTGTTGGCCCCCCGTTGGCCCACTGACTGGTTTCCTACAATAAACATTGGCCCTTTGTTGGCCCAATGCCTTGTTTTCATAAAAGAACAAAATATATACTAATAACTACAATTTATTACTAAATGTTGTTCACATATCATTTTCATTTTCTTCTCTTTGTTGTTACAACTTTTTAGTCAATCTCTTTCTCCGCCCGCCTTCCCTATCCTTGGCATATCTTAGGCACTCCTTCATTGTCTTCTCGAATTCATTATTAGTAAATCCCTGTCTACTTCCTCTTACAGCATCTGAAATTTATACAGTTTACTGATTTTATTTAAAGATACACTACTTATTATAATTTACTAGTAAAAAAGCACATAAATCTGTCAAAATGCAAATAGAGCTTAGGGGATAAGACTTTGATAGTAAAGAAATATTTTAAATTACAAGTCAATAGATTTAATAGTAACAGAGATATTTGACATAATTAAAAATTTCAACCTAAAATTTTTAAGTTAAAAAGGGGCATAATTCTGTCAAAATACAAATAGAGTTATGATGATCATTTACAACACAAGAGTCACATCTTACACCCACGGTGTAAAATAATTTTCTAGCACCGGTGAAATCACCTTTGAAAAAGCAAAAATACAAACCTAATATGACTTTTTTAAGTCTAAGTTTTTCGAATGGTTTTTTCGAGCCTTTTCCAACCCAGTTGTATTCTAGGGCAACTTCCTGAGACAAAGTGTGAGACATAACATGGCGAACAATGCTCTCCCAATTAGACATAAATTTGCTGTCTGAAATGAAATAAAAACAATTTTTGCAGTCGGGTAAAGTAATTTGTGTTTAATGCGAAGTTACACTTCAAATTAAATTTACACAAAGTTTTGTATACACTCTACTGCAATGAGTGGTGTAACTGTTAAAAAGTCTAGTAACAAAGCAGAATTTTGCAAATAACTCATAATCAATCATAATTACCTATTTATACTCAGAACAGATTGTATGAGCTTAACACTTCAGTGCTAATTGTAGCTTGTCAATTTTTACTAACTTGCAATTTTTTTGCAGTTATCACAATAAATTCAGATGTAAAACTATAAACATATCATATTTTAAGCTGATAAACACTGATAGAATTAAATGGTTTTAATTTCATTACAAAAATCAAATTCATTCTGGCTTGTTTACCTTATTTTCCTTTACCAATTCGCCATTTTGTATTAATCACATGACCTGGTCACGTGGATAGTATAACAGGTTTTAAAACACTAATTCCGTGCAGGTTTAAATACATTACTATATTAGAAGGGTTTATTTAAAAGATTAAAGTAAAAAACTCTAGATCTACTTACATTTTTCAGTGTTGAGAAATTGCAGTCTAATACAAATTTATTTAGATCTATCTGTAAACACGTCCACGCAGCTTCGAAATCAAGCGAGGGAAAGGATGGGTAGTGCCAAAATGATCCTATTTTCATTCATTGATAACATAACTAGAGGTTAATTAGAGTTCAGAGTGGAAGATTCCGGAGGTTTATTATGGTTATTCCAGCACATGTATAATTGCTTTAGATTATACATCAGATCTTTAAGATTTCTATAGATCTATTGATACATATCCCCTAATACTGCATAGCATAGGCTTTGGTCATTTCTAGACTCAAAAAGTAATTATTTCTTACATTTCTCATTTAATTTATATGAGTATTTCTTGAATGTGACAATATTGAACATGGCTTCAAAAAAACATTATAAACTTTAGTCTTTACTCATTGTAGTGTACTGTTTATATACAGTAAAATATCTACATGCATATCTGTCTTTAAAAAAATAAATTTTGGGTCAGGTGCAGTAATTAATATATTTGACGAAAATGTATCGTTGGTCAAACGTTGGCCCAACGTCTGTTTTAAAGTACATATTTATCGTTAGTGGGCCAATACAGAAATGTCGCTGGCGTTAACATATAGTTGGTTCGACGTTGGGCCAACAACTGCATTTATAGTACATGTTAATTAGAGTTGGGCCAACCATGGCCCAACAACGATTTTCCTATGACGATTTTCCGTGGTTGGCCCAACCACTGCATGTTTACAGGGATGTACCTCCCAATTCCTACCACTATGCCAGGCGCCAGGCGGATAGAAATCGGTAACCATTCATTTTAACTACCTCGCGGCTCACGAAGCGGCCATTTCGGAACGAGTCCCACGAGAAACATTCATCCTTCAATTAACGCTCCCCGTGGGGCTCGAACCTTCGACCTCCCGATCCGAAGGCGGACGCCTTAACCACTAGGCCAACGGTACCGGCTCATATATTGGAAATAAACTTGTCAACAACTCCCAGCATTAAATTACTATTTGTTTACATGTTTAGTTTCTTAGCATAGGTTCAACCGAAAAACCGCATCCTTTCTCCTTATCCGGAGACTGACGGAAAGGGCCGAGTAGTTGCGATTGGTTCAGTATACATGTATAAACAAAATTGGGATTTTCTGAAAATTGGCTGCGCATGCGCGTTGAAAATACATGAAACTGATCTGCGGCTGATCTACATAATTTGTAAGTAGTTTTATTTTGCATATTTCTAAATTGTACCATATGACATAAAGGATGTGAATAGTAAACGATTTAATTGACATTAATTAGTTCATAGATACACCAGTTAAACACTGTTAAAGGTTAAATTAAATTCATTAATTGTAACGTGAAATATATCTACTAGCTGCTATATGCTACGTATCATAATCATGGTAAATGTGTTACGTAAAACCTTTCTTTGTGTGCATAAATGTGTAATTTATTTGTTATAGATTATACATGTATATCTTGATAATGTAATGAATTCGTCGTTTTCTGGTCGACTGAGTTATTGTTTGTCTGTATGTACCGACCTATCTACATGTACATATTGATTGTTGTGTAATTTATATATAAATGTCACACTTTGTTCATGCATGAGGGATATTAGCGAGATGTTTGTATGTGTTCTAGGCTTAATGATGGTTCATCCGCCCCTGTAAGGAACCAGGACATCTCACCATTCATGTCCTTTTTAGGTTATACGACGGATTTATATTATGTAATATAAATCCATGGTTACACTGTGTATTTTGCCTAAAAGGTGACTTAATTAATTTTGAATTCAGTAATTTACTTAGTAAATCGTACTTAAAAATAAAATATTGTTTGTTTCCCCTCCCGCTACCTAACAACAAAAAACACAGATACCCCCCTCCCCCCCCCAAAAAAAAAATAATAATAATAAAATGAAATAATAAAAAAATGACTGCTTAGCAAAAACCAATATATTTTGTAATTACACATGGAATGAGATGTCTATTTTTTAAATTGTAAATGTATACTGAACAAAATATACTGAACAAAAAGGAAACTTTAAGTGAGTGTATTAAAAAATTAAAAAAATCAAAATGTCACATAAAAGAAACTTTCCCTGTATTTAAGTCAGATATACACAAATATGAAAATCAGGAATAAAGTAGATTTATAAATATGTATTGGAAGATTATTTTATTGCGATGTTTTTGTGGAAAAAAATTTTGCTAAGGGTTTATCCGAAAGTAGTGAAATAGTAGTTAAAATGCAAAAGGGGTCGATAACCTAAATCACAAATTAATATCGGGTATGACCACCTTCAATATGAAGGACTTTCGCGAGGGTGGGCTACATGGACGTCGACCATGGTTGTGTTTTGAGGCGACGTCGCCATGCGAATCGTGTTAATTGGACACGAACACACAACGCTGGCTTAGACAACATTGGAATAGCGTTCTTTTCCGGTTTTCCTTTCATCGTGCTGATGGCAGGGTTCGAGTATACCGTAGGAGAAATTAACGTTATGCAGACTGCTGCGTACTTGAAGGAGATCGTTTTGGGGATGGGGTTCTGTCTTGGTCTGGGCGGGCATTGCACATGGCTTTCGCACTAATTCCCTTATCGAAGGGAATTTGAAAGCCCAACGCTACCGAGATGAAATTCTTGCGAGGCATGTTATATCGTACTATTTCAAATAATGCCAATATCACTCTTTTTCAACATGATAATGCCGTAAGTCATACAGCTAGGGACACTGGGCGAATAACATTGCATTTATTTAACTGGCCTGCCAAAAGCCTGATCTAAATCCCATTGAACACTTGAGATAATTTGGAGACGTCGTCCTTTTCCACCGCCATTTAGCTAAGACAAGCCTTCACATACATATCAACGCGCTGATCCGTTCTATGCGCCAACGATGCCAGGTAGTCCTTCATGCATAAAGTGGTCATACCAGTTATTAATTTGTGATTTTGTTGGACGACCCCTTCTGCATTTTAATTACCATTTTACTTCTCTTGGAATATTCGGCTTTTCTAAAGGTATGCGATGCACAGCTGACCATTCTTTCGCAGCCATTTTACGCGTGCGTTCAATACTTATAACATTTTGCTTTGCATTTTATTGCAATATATAATGTAATATGATAAAAGCGGGATTAAACTCGAAAGCGAAACGTTCTTTTGTACTTTAAAAGACGGATGGACCCTCATTAAACACAAAAAACAGAACATGGCGTCTCCTCTGTCTTGAAAAAGTGACGAAATTCTACAGGAAATATTGTTGAGTGGTCCTTTATTAAAATTGCTCAAATAGTCCGCAAAACATTCGCCTGTTAGATTATTATGAAACTGTGCAGCAATGATCATTAGGTCGTCCTTTGCAAAAAGGCAATGAAAATGGTTCCGGTCTGTTGAACAAAATTGCCACCAGAAATAAAGATCGAAATAAGTCTTAAATGGCATTCCCCTCAGTCGCTTAATCAGTTTTGACGAACTCTACATGAATGATCCCTAATTAAGTGATCTTTTAATAACATTCCTTGAAAACATTGTATTTCCGGTCTGATGAATAAGATAGCTATCAAAGCTGAAAATATAAATACGATTTAAGTATTGATAGATTTCATATAAAACTCTTAAGAAATAATCCTTAGGTAATACTTTACTTACGAGTTAAATTTGTTAAGGTTTGCTCAACAAAATGACCGCTTGAGCTGAAAAAAGAAAAAAATAACTAACGTTATAAACCACATTCCTGTCTTAATCACTTGGTAGATTTTGATACAGCAATTATCTAGGAAATTGCTCAAATCGTTCCGGTCTGTTGTGGTACATGAACTTTATTCTCTGATTATCGAAGAAATCAATGTCATCATTGCCCTGTTTTTTAGAAATGTCAAAAGCTATAATTTAATGAGTATTTAGACTAATTTTAAATTTCAATTAGGAACTTCATTGTACTACACTTGTCTTCATCCAGATCACTTGTAACAAATAACATGTATATCCAAACTCCTGGGACTACTTATTTTGCATACGCCATAGACTTTGAAGAAAAAGTTTGAACGTCTGTAAAAAAAAATGTTTCTTTCGACCTTGATGATGACCGTAATTGATGGATCCATCCAGTGTTTATCACTTGCTATTTTCTGTAAAATGCTTTATTGTAGAAATCAAGGCAGACACATTAGTTTATTACTTTATTATACATTATGCAATTGCTTACGCTGTTATGATTTTTTTTCAGAACGTGTTATTTTTGGAACATTGACAGAATCGTGAAAAGTGGAAAGAGAGTCAGGAGATGTTTTGTTTATTTACATAATTAATTAATTATATGAGAAAGGAACAAAATGGAAGTCGACAAAGAATTGGAGACCGAACTAAGACATTATCCATCAAACTTTGACCTTTATGATGAAGTCCAATTAATGTCTAAAGATTACATTCAGAAAATTAAGGCGAAGTTAGTTAACGAGCTTGAATCCAGTCCTTACGACACTGCCATGGAAACAATTCGAGCTTGGAACCTTATATCCTTTCTTTGTTTCATTTTGGGGAATGAAGAAGATGCGTTCGAGTATAATTCTAAAGTTTTGAAGGGTAGCAAAGATAACGCTACTGGTTTATGTAATAAGGCATGGTTTTTGTTGAAGATGCAAGAACAATACAGTGTTATCAAAGAGTTATGTAAACAGGTAAATGGTCTGATTAAAAATGAGGTTGATTTGTTGTTTGCTAAGGCAGAAAAGGCATTTTGTTATTCAAGATTTGGTATTAATCGATATGAAAAATCCCGCAAGTTATTCGAAGAAGTACTTGGCGAAATTCATGAGCAGAACCTGCTTTCTGGTAAAACAGATGATTCTGAGCAACAATTCATTCAAATAGACAATTACTGTGTTTGGAACTTTGGTTACGCCCTTACATTCAGACGAGCGTTAAATTGGAATAATGCACATGATGGATCGTCATTTGATTTATCCAAAAAGGCACATATCAAGGTTTGTGATCTGTATAGTCGTATCATTCATCTGAAAGGAAACAGCGAGTGTCTTAAACGGTACCAAGCAAGATCATACGTTGAATTAGGGTCACTAATTTACAGTGTTAGGGAAAATAAAGATACATTTCCAAATGGAATAAAGAATGTCTTACCAGAGCATCAAGATCTTTGGTTAAAAACCAATGAATTTTATATTAAAGCAAACTATCTCTGCCCAAATGATGTATTTGTATTGGAAAAATGTGGTAAACATTTCCGATACAAAAAAAATCTTGGCAAGTCCATTTCTTTTCTCAAACAAGCACTTGCTATAAGAGAGACTGCTTTTTCTCATCACCATCTTGCATTAAGCTTGAAACGACAGCTGGAAAGTAAAAGACAACAAAACTATCCTGCCTTTGCCAATGATAATCGTGAAGAAATCAAGGTAAAGAAAAATCTTGCCAGTAAATTCGAACAAGTAGAAAGTCATCTTCAACCGCCAAAGCCGGAGAAATATTTAACATCTACATGTACATCTCAGTCAAACGCATCGAACTGTCATAGTAAAACGATTAAAAAACAAAACTATCCACAAATGAGATTGAACAACATGTCTAGTTTGTCAGATCAATATGTACCACCTGAAGAAATCCAGAATTTTGAATTCAGATCAAATACTACATCCAAAATGAATGTTGAAATACCGACCAACTTATCAGATCACACAGACATTGAACAAGCATGTGACATGTTAAAAAATGCATCATTGGAATCAGGTTGTGAAAGATTGTCAATTTTTCCTAATGTACAAATGAATGATTGTGATACGGAAGATAATATGAAATGTTTATCTTTTAAATCCGGTTATGAAACATTGTCGACTGCTTCTAGATCTAATGTACAAATGTATGATTGTGCTACGGAAGATAACACGAAATGTTTATCTTTGGATTCAGACTATGGAACAATGTCATATTCTTCTAATGTGTCAATGAACGAGTATGATGCGGGAACTAGCATGAAACCCATAGAAGGAAATGCTTCAGCAAAAGCTGTTAATGCCGATTTTTCCTTCAAAGTAGAAACAATGAGACCACATAATAATAATAATCATAATCGGCGTAATCGGGGAAGAAGAAGTTTTAACCAGAACTATTCCAGCATTAAGCAACACTTTCAAGCTACTTCAGAATCACGCTATGGTTACAACGGTCGTAATGATGCATATGTCCGGTCTGGAGCACGTGGGAAAAGGAAACCAAATAGGTATTTCAGAAACGGTAGTCGTTCCGGAGGTCGAGCGGCAATCAATGACAAGATGGCGTTTATGAAAATGATTAAAAGTCCTCTAAAACCACAGTTCATTGACGAAAAGCAACATACAGAAACCATAAAACAAATCATATATCATTTAGATAAATCTGTTGAATTATCAAATAACTCTGGAGCTATTTATGACAAAGGCATGCTATACAGACAAATTGGAGAATACGACAAAGCTTTATCTACATTTAAGATACTCATCAGAAACGAAGGTGGACATTGCTCACTTGTACAATTATCAAATGCGTTTGAACAATCAGGCCTATGTCTTTACGACATTTTGTCGCAGTCAGACGAGGAAAACCATTGTAAGGAGGATGACATGAGAACGTATTTCAAGAAGTCAATAGAAATATCCTGTTCAATTGTTTCAAAAATTCCGTTTCTTAAAGATTGTTGGGTGTCGGCTCCTACGTTAAAAGAGTTTCTATCCGGACAAGCAAAAACCACTGAACATCTTAAAGACTTATTCTTCCTGTCAAAGAAGTTTGAAAATTATGGCGAAGCGATAAAAATTCTCAAAGATCTAAAAGAACTGACTGCAGATGAAAATGAAAGGACTAAATTAGATATACAGCTTGTTGAAAACTACCTCAGTAATGGAAATTATGACGACGCTTTACTTGCCCTAGATGCGATTGTTTGTCTACAAAATGGGTATGAACATATCGATGAAAAAATGTATTTGCAGGCTCACATTGAAGGAGGAATCGTTGCGTTGAAACAAAAGTCATTTGTAATGGCACGCCTTCGACTGAGAAATGCTCTTGATTTCTATAGACATAATCAAAATGTTCATGACAATGAAGGCCATGAAAACGATACTAATACAGAAGATGAAAACTTTGATGTATTCATTCTTTGCAATGAGAATTTGGAGGAGAAATGTATGAGCTTAGTGCATATTTTAACCGCTTTTGAGCTCAGAGTAACGATTAACTTTCAGGAATTGTTACCAGGGACTTCAAAAATGTCCGGAATATGTCGACAATTTCGACATTCGAAGCACTTTCTGCTGGTTATCGATGAAAAACAATTAAAAAGAATAGATGAACATTACTTTGAAATGATGCAAGAAGTCGTTTTGAATAGAAATTATGGTCATATATTGATTATTAAGACCAGTAAAGATGCAAAGGTACCTTCCCACCTTTCAAAATACCCCAGTATGGAAATGAATGTTGGGGCTGATGAGGTTCCTGAAAACTGTTTCGAAAACGAGGGTCTATGTGAAACGATTAAAGCACTTCTGATCAAGCTGGCCAGCAGCAAGCAAGCAGCATAAGTCTAAAGATTATCATAATTTGAAACAAAGGTTTAAATGACCTTTTCATTGATGAGGCAAATTAAATTCACAAAGTTTTAAATTATGTAATGTTTTGGGTGCCAAGTCTTCCTACGCAGAAGCAAGCAAACAGCATAAGTCAAAAGATATCCTAATAGGAAACAAAGGAAAAAATGAACGTTGATATGTGTGGAAAATGAATTTCACAGAGTTTTAAATTGTGCAATGTATTTGTGCCACATCTTCCAAAGAATGTTAAAAAGGACGTAAGGCTCTGTTTTAAACTGTCAGAACTTTCCTTAATGGGACAGTAGTACTTTGATTCTTTTTAATAAAATATTTAGATTTATTGTGTATTTATTGTAGAAATTCAGAATGTGAAAAAAAAAAAGACAAAAACTATTAAGTCTGCTGTTTTCATCTTACAATTCCACCATCATTTCGTTTATCTTTTTCATGTATTTAATCTTTCAAAGCGTTCGTGAACGACTTGAGTTTGTTATTCATTTGAAAAGGTATTTTGACTGAAAGAACATTAATTACAAATGTTTAATACCGGGTATGCTAATTAAGTTGCTAATAAAGTCAGTATATACGAGAATGATTAAAGATAACGACACAATAAGGCTTACATAACTACATTATATTCAACGTTCAATTAATAAGATAATGTTTAATATAAAGGTCATTATCTTTGTATATTTGCATTGTCAATATAGAATAATCAGTTGTTTAAACACTTGTACATTAGGTATAATTAAGATTTTCAGTTCTCTATCTGTACATATACATTCCTTATACATATACATTTATTTAAATGCAGCCTATGTAGATTATAGAATTTTGTAGATTAATATATAAATAGTTTCTGTTTATATTGACATGAAGTGAAAGCATGTGATTGATAATTTGTTTTGACCATGAATAAACAATGAACATTGTGATTATTTTAACTATTTAGTTTTGCAGAATGCATTGCGAAAAATAAATGCTTATGATTTATAAGCTCCGTGCCCCCTGTCCCCCATGAGTATATATATTTTCAAAAGTGAAACTAACGGGTAATTCTCATAGAACCCCTATATTACTAGTAAGAAATATATAATTATTGATGTCTCTCATTTTTTAGAGAAAATATGGCCGTACACTAATTTCATACGCCCGTTTGTAAAACTGGAGGTACTATATTGGAACGCCTGGGACGGACGGCGTCCAATTTTGTCCTGGGCATATCTCTACACGCATGGGGGATTTTAACGAAACTTAATAGAATTGTTCACGAACGTTCATCATTGTGAGGTCTAAATTCAAGTCCCTGTGGCCAAGGTCAATGCCACACATAGAGGCCAAAGTTCAGAAAACAATATGAAGATGTGTTTAGTAATCATTTTTAGCTCGACTATTCGATAAGAATAAGCTAGAAGAGCTATTGTAGTCACCCGAAGTCCGCGTCGGCTTAACCACGTAATTATGTTAAAGTTTTTGTAATACCTCAATTATTTTCAAAGTCCATTGACATATGGCTTTGAAACTTTGAACACTTTTTCACCATCATAACCCCAACCTGTAGACAGGAGGAGATAACTGTATCAAGCATTTTGACACAATTATGCCCCTTTTTCGACTTAGAATTTATGTTAAAGTTTTTGTAATACCTCCAATATTTTCAAAGTCCATTGACATACATTTTGACAGAATTATGCCCCTTTTTCGACTTAGAATTTACTTTAAAGTTTTTGTAATACCTCAAATATTTTCAAAGTCCATTGACATATGGCTTTGAAACTTTGCACACTTGTTCACCATCATTACCCCAACCTGTAAACAGGAGGAGGTAACTGTATCAAGCATTTTTTTCTCTAACAAGCACTAAGAATAGTCGAGCGTTGATGTCCTTCCGACAGCTCTTGTTAAGGTGATAGCAATACAAATGGTAACTATCATGACTACATGTGTAACTCACTTAATTCTAGTTAATATTTGCAAAGTCAAGGCCACTGGAGATGTAGAGAATATCTCCTAAACATGCATGGCGGAATTAACTAACCGTTAAAAATAACCCAATTTGATAAAAGTTTAAAGACTTTTTGGCAAAGTAATTCATGAAAAATAACCCAGGTTCAGTTCTCAACGCATTAGCTCAAGTTTCAACCTGGTATAAATTTAATATTACACGGAATTCTGTCACCGTTGCAAACAGTACATCATTTAGATTTCTTATTATGTTTGTAAAAAACCAAAGTACAAAATATATACCTGTTCAAATAATACGGATTTATTTAGTTAGGCTACCTTTGTATTATTATAACAGTGGGCGGTATAGATTTTGCTTTCAACATAATTTGATAAAACTTTGTATTTGTTATTCTATTTAATTATGCATTTAAATTAATCGAATTTTCTTAAATCACTGTAAATAACTAATATACTTTGTCTTAAAGTCTAATATACTTTGTCTTAAAGTCTATCTTCAACGAGTTTGAATTTTATTTTTCCATACCGATCTACCCAGAATTTCTATTGTTAACCTAAGTCAAAGGAAGAATTTGCCGGTCTGTACCGTAATAACGACTTTTAAACATGACACTTATCGACGGTATCAGTTGGACACCGATAAGAACGATATATAGTTGCCCATACATGTCCAATATAAAAAGTGCACTAGAAAACTCACACATACGCGCATCAACAGGGTATGTAATTGTCATTCAGGTAAGATATTTTAATTATAACACTAGTAATTATGTGATCTGTTATATATTAACAGTTTAAGGAGATGATGCTTAAAAATATTCATTCCATATAAACAATATTTTTTATACATCTAAATATTGTTCTAGATTTTAATGGAAAATTTATCAAGAGAGATAAAATAAAATGCCGAGTATTGAAAATGATTTTAAAAAATAAATTGAATGACCATAAGCACTTTCAATGATGTCGAACTGAAGACCCTTGAACCTAATCAGTAGCACGATCCGAATCACTGTTGAATTAGATACAAACCATTTTACTATCGTTTTCGGGTGAACGCTGTACAACAGTGCGAATAAAATGGTTTTTAACGTTCGTAGATTTTAAATAACAGTGTGTTTTACTTGATAAAGGCCCATTATTCATCAGAAATGCTTTTATTTTTATTTCTCCATGTTTAGCTCGTTTTTTAAACAAATACATGTAGATGTATTGTTACAGTCACATCGAGGTTGCCGATGCAATTGCAATTGCTTTTTGACAATTAGAACATTTAAAGTGATTTAAGTTTTTTTGGTATAGAATTAAAAATATTACTGATTTTAATTTCACACTGAACGCTACTTTCTTCATGAAAACGATATGATGCTCATGTTTGCCCCACACAATACACGTATTAATTTTCTAAGATGAATTTATATTACACAGAATTTAAATAGTTCGCAGTTTGCATACTAATGGTTTCGTATTTGGTCCATTCCTTAGGTTACTTATTTCAAGTTACTCTAATAAACTTCTATATATTTTACGATTCAGCAGAAATGCAAATTAAAAAAAACATATAAGAAAACAGGTTACACCCGTGGGAATGAAATGTACAGAAAATAGACTTTATGGCTTTTTAAGTGTTTGTTGCAGTGCATTGTAGTCATCTCAGAAGTTTTATAAGGCCTAGAATTTATATACTTGATAAGAAAATAGTTTACTTGGCTGTACTAAAGCTATATCAACGATGATACAGGTGTCTAGTGTCGCAAATAATGCTACATATAGCATTGTCTAGTAGCACTCTATAAAAGTTACAAATCATAAAAATCTGGAAGAACGAAAGATGATTCCCCGGAAATATTAATCACAACAATGTTGCATGGAAAGTGCAGACTTGGTTTGATTGAGTCTGTACAAGAGGGATAATGAAAAGGTGTAACATCCCTCACGCCAGCACCGACTTAAGCGGTACTTAATTTTCAACTCTTTAAAGTGCTGGAATCAATAACCCTACCATTTAGAACCTTTATTTTTATCTTATTTTTGATATAGAAATAATAAGTCCACTTGATCCTCTTGTTTATTGGTTTATTGATTGCCATTATCAAGGTAAAAGTATGCATGGTTTTTAAGAAATACTGATCACCTTATAAACCAAATACCAGTGAAGGAAAATGTAAGTCTTTCCAAAATTATACGACGAAAAGACTGAATTGAATTGTCAATTCGGTCTAAACTCTATTAATTCGGTCTCAATTATAGTCAATCCGGTCCCAAAAATGCTCAATGCGGTCCCACAACAATAATCCGTTGGTCAAATTGACCCCGAAGATTGTAAATCCGAACCCATTTAATTTATTTAAAAGTGTTTTTTTTATTGTTATGCTAACGTTTGAAATATTGGTTATATCAAATAAGACCATAATATAAAACAGTTAATGATAAACAGATGTGATATAACTTGATTAAGGATAAATCTGGATATAATTTACACCGTAATCTGATCAACGATTATGTAACAACATTGCGACAGATAACGAGTAAAAAAATAATAAACAAAAGGTGTGGGTAAAAAAAAAAATCTTTTTTTTTCTCTTTCTCAACTTAAATTCGTGACCGAAGTAGAATGTACTATATAGGTTAATTAAACCCATAGCTATATAGATATGTACATATTTAATGCCAAATAAAGGATTCTTTTCTGATCTATATATTGATAATTTAAGAAAGTACTGTCATATTGATCAGCGCTGTCTCTTGTTACTTTTGGGTATACATGTTTCTTACTTCAAATTTTTATAAGCACTTGTGTTTATAGATTTTGATTAAGCTTTATATGACTTAGACATTTAAGTCTACTGGACATTGTGTGTGGGTTTTTTTTAATCAAAAACATAAACTTAATACATTTCATAAACAATGAATTTATATAGAATAATGTTAAACTAAAAGTATTACTGACAATAGAATTTGTTTTCTCGTTTCATCTTGGTGTGTTGAATTTGGAATAGTTAATTTCTGAAAAATCTTGTTTATGAAAATAAAAAAAGAAAGAAAATGAAAATAAATGGTGCCAATATAACTAGCGAACGGATGGACTATTTTGGGGGCGGGTTAATTTTGGACTAATTTGACTTGTTCCCAAAAGACTTCAAATCCCAGTTATATAGGTGAAAATAAGAAGTATCATCCTTAAGTGTATTTAAAGCTATACATCTGCTGCAAAAAATATTTAAATTTTAAAAAAGAATATACTTCATAAAATACTTGTATGAACAAAATATGGTAGTAAACAAGCGAATAGCGCATGACAATTCATTGCTAAACTTAAAATAAAAGATCAATATTTTGTTCCGGATTTTTTAATCTGTTTACGGACAATATCCATAGTTAATTACACAACTATTTCGGGAATCGACCATAAGTTTATGGAACCAATATAATTTTTCTGTTGATAAATTTACAAGATATATACATGTAAGTGTTAAAAATCCACAATAAGAATATTTATCACTTATACTTCGATCATGATTTTGATGAGGATTAAGAGCTTTCGTAGACACTAGGCCAGTGGTCAGTATTCCTTATTATTTCGTAAAGCTCGTATGTAGAGAAATCAAAACATGAGACTATTATACACAATGTGATTTACATACTTTTATTATTTCAGATTCTTTGAGAGACATGATATTGTCAGGATCATGGCAAGAGAGTAAGAAGATGTTACATTTGTGTAACGTGTAAGTTATCATATGAGAGAAATACAAAATGGAGGACGACATAGAAATTGTGAACAAGCTTGGGCAGTATCCTTCGAGCTTCGACCTTTATGAAGATGTTCAGTCAATGTCCAAAGATTGTCTTAAGAAGCATTTGGAAAGGTTAATTAAAGAGGTTGCATCCAATCCATACGACAATACCATGGAAAAGCTTCGAGCTTGGAATTTCATCTCGTTTCTAAGTTTCATTTTAGGAAATGAAAAAGATGCGTTTGAGTATAACTCAAAAGTGCTAGAGCGAAGCAAAGAAAATATCATGGGTTTATGTAATAAGGCGAGGTTTTTGTTAAAGATGCAAGAGAAATACCATGTTGTCAATGACTTGTGTAAACAGCTTGATGAAAGTATAAAACATAAGGGTAATATGTTGTTTGCAAAGGCAGAAAAGGCATTTCATTATTTATGTTTTGGCACAGAACGAAATAAAAAATCTCGTCACTTATTTGAGGAAGTTCTTGGTGAAATTCATAAGCAGAATATAGACGTTTCTGGTGACACAGATGATTCTGAAAATACATTAATGCAAACGGACAATTACTGTGTCTTGAACTTTAGTTACGCCCTTACATACAAACGAGCGTTAAACTTTACCAAAACTCATGACGTATCTTCATTTGATGTGACCACACAGCTAGATATAATAAAGAAGGTTTGTAATATTTATAGTCGTATCATCCATATTGAAGGAGGCAGTACATGTCTTAAACTTTACAAGGGAAGATCATGCGTTGAATTAGGGTCAATTGACTACTATATCGGGAAAAATAAGTCTGGATTTCAAAATGTAAATGGCATAAAAGATTTCTTACCGGGTCGAGAAGATCTGTGGTTGAGTACCAACGAATTTTATGAAAAAGCAGAATGTTTTTGTCCAAATGACGTGTTTGTTTTAGAAAGATGTGGTTCATATTTTCGATACGTAAACGATATCGACAAATCAATCTCTCTTCTCGAAAAAGCTATAACAATACGAGAAACTTCTTATTCCCATCATCATCTTGCACTTTCCCTAAAACGACAAGTGGAAAGTCATTTTCGACAACCTATGTCGAAAAAATATTTTATACCAACTACAAAACCATCGAATGATCGTAATAAGGCACATTTCGGGATCAAATGTTCATACAAACCAACGCTAATTAACAAAGAAAAACACATAGACACTATTAAACAAATTATTTTTCATTTAGACAAATCGTTTGAATTGTCAAGTAACTGTGGAGCTATTTATGACAAAGGCATGCTTTACAGACAAATTGGAGAACATGACAATGCTTTGGCCACATTTAAGACTCTCATTAGGAACAAGGAAGGACATTGTTCGCTTGTACAATTATCAAATGCTTATGAACAAGCAGGCCTTTGTCTTAATGACATGTTGTCGCAGTCAGAAGAAAAAGGTGAGGAGGTTGGTGACATGAAAACTTATTTCAAGAAGTCAATAGAATTATCCTGTTCGATTGTTTCGAAAATTCCGTTTCTTGGAGATTGTTGGGTGTCAGTTCCTACGTTTAAAGAGTTTCTATCCGGACAAGCAAAAACCACTGAACATCTTAAAGACTTATTCTTCCTGTCAAAGAAGTTTGAAAATTATGGCGAATCGATAAAAATTCTTAAAGACCTAAAAGAACTGACTGCAGATGAAAATGAAAGGACTAAATTAGATATACAGCTTGTTGAAAACTACCTCAGTAATGGAAATTATGACGACGCTGTACTTGCCCTAGATACGATTGTTTGTCTACCAAATGGGTATGGACTTATCGATGAAAAAATGTATTTGCGGGCTCACATTGAAGGGGGGATCGTTGCCTTGAAACAAGAATCATTTGAAATGGCACGCCTTCGATTGAGAAATGCCCTTGACTTCTATAGACATACTCAACATGTTCATAACATTGAAGGCCATGAAAACGATTCTAATACAGAAGATGAAACATTCGATGTATTCATTCTTTGCAACGAGAACTTGGAGGAGAAATGCATGAGCTTAGTGCATATTTTAACCGCTTTTGAGCTCAGAGTAACGATTAACTTTCAGGAATTGTTACCAGGAACTTCAAAAATGTCCGGAATATGTCGACAATTTCGACATTCGAAGCACTTTCTGCTGGTTATCGATGAAAAACAATTAAAAAGAATAGATGAACATTACTTTGAAATGATGCAAGAAGTCGTTTTGAATAGAAATTATGGTCATATATTGATTATTAAGACCTGTAAAGATGCAAAGGTACCTTCCCACCTTTCAAAATACCCCAGTATGGAAATGAATGTTGGGGCTGATGAGGTTCCTGAAAACTGTTTCGAAAACGAGGGTCTATGTCAAACGATTAAAGCACTTCTGATCAAGCTGGCCAGCAGCAAGCAAGCAGCATAAGTCTAAAGATTATCATAATTTGAAACAAAGGTTTAAATGACATTTTCATTGATGAGGCAAATTAAATTCACAAAGTTTTAAATTATGTAATGTTTTGTGTGTCAATTCTTCCCACGCAGAAGCACGCACACAGCATAAGTCAAAAGATATCCTAATATGAAACAAAGGGTAAAATGAACGTTGATATGTGTGGAAAATGAATTTCACAGAGTTTTAAATTGTTCAATGTATTTTGTGCCACATCTTCCAAAGAATGTTAAAAAGGACGTAAGGCTCTGTTTTAAATTGTCAGAACTTTCCTTAATGGGACAGTAGTACTTTGATTCTTTTTAATAAAATATTTAGATTTATTGTGTATTTATTGTAGAAATTCAGAATGTGAAAAAAAAAGACAAAGACTATTAAGTCTGCTGTTTTCATCTTACAATTACACCATCATTTCGTTTATCTTTTTCATGTATTTAATCTTTCAAAGCGTTCTTGAACGACTTGAGTTTGTTGTTCATTTGAAAAGGTATTTTGTCTGAAAGAACATTAATTACAAATGTTTAATACCGGGTATGCTAATTAAGTTGCTAATAAAGTCAGTATATAAGCGAATGATTAAAGATAACGACACAATAAGGCTTGCATAACTACATTATATTCAACGTTCAATATATTAAGATAATGTTTAATATAAAGGCCATTATCTTTGTATATTTGCATTGTCAATATAGAATAATCAGTTGTTTATACACTTGTATATGTAGGTATAGTTAAGATTTTCAGTTCTCTATCTGTACATATACATTCCTTATACATATACATATATTTAAATGCAGCCTATGTAGATTATAGAATTTTGTAAATCAATATATAAATAGTTTCTGTTAATATTGACATGAAGTGAAAGCATGTGATTGATAATTTGTTTTGACCATGAATAAACAATGAACATTGTGATTATTTTAACTATTTATTTTTGCAGAATACATTGCGAAAAATAAATGCTTATAATTTATAAGCTCCGTGCCCCCTGTCCCCCATGAGTATATATATTTTCAAAAGTGAAACTAACTGGTAATGCTCATAGAACCCCTATATTACTAGTAAGAAATATATAATTATTGATGTCTCTCATTTTTTAGAGAAAATATGGCCGTACACTAATTTTATACGCCCGTTTGTAAAACTGGAGGTACTATATTGGAACGCCTGGGACGGACGGACGGCGTCCAATTTTGTCCTGGGCATATCTCTACACGCATGGGGGACTTTAACGAAACTTAATAGAATTGTTCACGAACGTTCATCATTGTGAGGTCTAAATTCAAGTCCCTGTGGCCAAGGTCAATGCCACACATAGAGGCCAAAGTTCAGATAACAATATGAAGATGTGTTTAGTAATCATTTTTAGCTCGACTATTCAATTAGAATAAGTAGAGCTATTGTAGTCACCCGAGCGTCGGCGTCTGCGTCCGCGTCCGCGTCGGCTTTACCACTTATGTTAAAGTTTTTGTAATACCTCAATTATTTTCAAAGTCCATTGACATATGGCTTTATAACTTTGAACACTTGTTCACCATCATAACCCCAACCTGTAGACAGGAGGAGATAACTGTATCAAGCATTTTGACACAATTATGCCCCTTTTTCGACTTAGAATTTATGTTAAAGTTTTTGTAAAACCTCCAATATTTTCAAAGTCCATTGACATATGGCTTTGAAACTTTGCACACTTGTTCACCATCATGACCCCAACCTGTAGACAGGAGGAGATAACTGTATCAATCATTTTGACAGAATTATGCCCCTTTTTCTACTTAGAATTTATGTTAAAGTTTTTGTAATACCTCAAATATTTTCAAAGTCCATTGACATATGGCTTTGAAACTTTGCACACTTGTTCATCATCATCACCCCGACATGTAGACAGGAGGAGGTAACTGTATCAAGCATTTTGACAGAATAATGCCCCTTTTTCGACTTAGAATTTACTTTAAAGTTTTTGTAATACCTCAAATATTTTCAAAGTCCATTGACATATGGCTTTGAAACAACTTTGCACACTTGTTCACCATCACAACCCCAACCTGTAAACAGAAAGAGGTAACTGTATCAAGCATTTTTTTTTACTAACAAGCATTAAGAATAGTCGAGCGTTGCTGTCCTACCGACAGCTCTTGTTTAGGGGATAGCAACACAAATGGTAACTATCATGACTACATGTGTAACTCACTTAATTCTAGTTAATATTTGCAAAGTCAAGGTCACTGGAGATGATTAAAATACGAGTAGAGAATATCTCCTAAACATGCATGGCGGAATTAACTAACCGTTAAAAATAACCCAATTTGATAAAAGTTTAAAGACTTTTTGGCAAAGTAAATTCTCAACATGAAAAATAACCCAGGTTCAGTTCTCAACGCATTAGCTCAAGTTTCAACCTGGTATAAATTTAATATTACACGGAATTCTGTCACCGTTGCAAACAGTACATCATTTAGATTTCTTATTATGTTTGTAAAAAAACAAAGTACAAAATATATACCTGTTCAAATAATACGGTTTTATTTAGTTACCTTTGTATAACAGTGAGCGGTATAGATTTTGCTTTCAACATAATTTGATAAAACTTTGTATTTGTTATTCTATTTAATTATGCATTTAAATTACTCGATTTTTTTAAATCACTGTAAATAACTAATACTTTGTCTTAAAGTCTATCTTCAACGAGTTTGAATTTTATTTTTCCATACCGATCTACCCAGACTCTTTTAAATAGAATTTCTATTGTTAACCTAAGTCAAAGGAAGAATTTGCCGGTGTGTACCGTAATAACGACTTTTAAACATGACACTTATCGACGGTATCAATTGGACACCGATAAGAACGATAGTTGCCCATACATGCCCAATATAAAAAGTGTACTAGAAAACTCACACATACGCGCATCAACAGGGTATGTTATGGTTATGTTATTGTCGTTCAGGTAAGATACTTTAATTATAACACTAATAAGTATGTGATCTGTTATAAACAGTTTAAGGAGATGATGCTTAAAAGTATTCATTCCATATAAACAATATTTTTTATACATCTAAATATTGTTCTAGATTTTAATGGAAAATTGATCAAGAGAGATAAAATAAAATGCCTAGTATTGAAAATTTTTTTAAAAAATATATTGAGTGACCATAAGCACTTGCAATGATGTCGAACTGAAGACCCTTGAACCTAATCAGTAGCACGATCCGAATCACTGTTGAACTAGATATAAACCATTTTACTATCGTTTACGGTGTTTTTGAGGGACTATTTTCGGTGGCGAATAAAACGATTTTTAACGTTCGTAGATTTTAAATAACAGTGTGTTTTACTTGATAAAGGCCCATTATTCATCAGAAATGCTTTTATTTTAATTTCTCCATGTTTAGCTCGTTTTTTAAACAAATACATGTAGATGTATTGTTACAGTCACATCGAGGTTGCCGATGCAATTGCAATTGCTTTTTGACAATTAGAACATTTAAAGTGATTTAAGTTTTTTTGGTATAGAATTAAAAATATTACTGATTTTAATTTCACACTGAACGCTACTTTCTTCATGAAAACGATATGATGCTCATGTTTGCCCCACACAATACACGTATTAATTTTCTAAGATGAATTTATATTACACAGAATTTAAATAGTTCGCAGTTTGCATACTAATGGTGTCGTATTTGGTCCATTCCTTAGGTTACTTATTTCAAGTTACTCTAATAACTTCTATATATTTTACGATTCAGCAGAAATGCAAATTAAAAAAAAAAACATATAAGAAAACAGGTTACGCCCGTGGGAATGAAATGTACAGAAAATAGACTTTATGGCTTTTTAAGTGTTTGTTGCAGTGCATTGTAGTCCTCTCAGAAGTTTTATAAGGCCTAGAATTTATATACTTGATAAGAAAATAGTTTACTTGGCTGTACTAAAGCTATATCAACGATGATACAGGTGTCTAGTGTCGCAAATAATGCTACATATAGCATTGTCTAGTAGCACTCTATAAAAGTTACAAATCATAAAAATCTGGAAGAACGAAAGATGATTCCCCGGAAATATTAATCACAACAATGTTGCATGGAAAGTGCAGACTTGGTTTGATTGAGTCTGTACAAGAGGGATAATGAAAAGGTGTAACATCCCTCACGCCAGCACCGACTTAAGCGGTACTTAATTTTCAACTCTTTAAAGTGCTGGAATCAATAACCCTACCATTTAGAACCTTTATTTTTATCTTATTTTTGATATAGAAATAATAAGTCTGCTTGATCCTCTTGTTTATTGGTTTATTGATTGCCATTATCAAGGTAAAAGTATGCATGGTTTTTAAGAAATACTGATCACCTTATAAACCAAATACCAGTGAAGGAACATGTAAGTCTTTCCAAAATTATACGACGAAAAGACTGAATTGAATTGTCAATTCGGTCTAAACTCTATTAATTCGGTCTCAATTATAGTCAATCCGGTCTCAAAAATGCTCAATGCGGTCCCACAACAATAATCCGTTGGTCAAATTGACCCCGAAGATTGTAAATCCGAACCCATTTAATTTATTTAAAAGTGTTTTTTATTGTTATGCTAACGTTTGAAATATTGGTTATATCAAATAAGACCATAATATAAAACAGTTAATGATAAACAGATGTGATATAACTTGATTAAGGATAAATCTGGATATAATTTACACCGTAATCTGATCAACGATTATGTAACAACATTGCGACAGATAACGAGTAAAAAAATAATAAACAAAAGGTGTGGGTAAAAAAAAATCTTTTTTTTTCTCTTTCTCAACTTAAATTCGTGACCGAAGTAGAATGTACTATATAGGTTAATTAAACCCATAGCTATATAGATATGTACATATTTAATGCCAAATAAAGGATTCTTTTCTGATCTATATATTGATAATTTAAGAAAGTACTGTCATATTGATCAGCGCTGTCTCTTGTTACTTTTGGGTATACATGTTTCTTACTTCAAATTTTTATAAAGCACTTGTGTTTATAGATTTTGATTAAGCTTTATTTCAGTGTTGTTATATTTTCTGGTCCTTCGGGATCACTGATGCCAACACTATAAAGTGTTGAGAATTGAGTACCGCTCAAGCCGGTGCTAGGGGGCGTGAGGGATGTTGCACTTATTCATTATCCCTCATGTACAGACTCAATCAAACCGAGTCTGCAATTCTTATGTTATTTTGTTGTGATTGATGCTTCCGAGGGATCACTTTGCTTCCAGAATTTTGTACTTCACAACAGCAGGTGTCAAGTGCCGTGTGGCAGCCGTAAAAAGTTGCCCCGTACTTCACTTCAGTGTTGTTATATTTTCTGGTCCTTCGGGATCATTGATGCCAACACTATAAAGTGTTGAGAATTGAGTACCGCTCAAGCCGGTGCTAGGGGGCGTGAGGGATGTTGCACTTATTCATTATCCCTCATGTACAGACTCAATCAAACCGAGTCTGCAATTCTTATGTTATTTTGTTGTGATTGATGCTTCCGAGGGATCACTTTGCTTCCAGAATTTTATAAGACTTAAGATCTACTGGACATTGTGTGTGTGGTATTTTTTAAATCCAAAACATAAACTTAATACATTTCATAAACAATGAATTTATATAGAATAATGATCGAATAACTACGAGTATTACTGACAATAGAATTTAATTTGTTTTCTCGTTTCATCTTGATGTGTTGGATTTGGAATACATGTAGTTACTTTATGAAAAACGTTGTTTATGAAAAAACTAGGGAACGGATGGACTATTTTTGGGGAGGGTTAATTTTGGACTAGTTTGACTTGTTCCCAAAAGACTCCAAATACCAGTTATACAGGTGAAAATAAGAATTATCATCCTTACAGTGTATTTAAAGCCATACATCTGCTGCAAAAAAAATATTTAAATTTTTTAAAAAGAATACTTCCTAAAATACTTGTATGAACAAAATATGGTAGTAAACAAGCGAATAGCGCATGACAATTCGTTGCTAAACTTAAATAAAAGATCAATATTTTGTTCCGGATTTTTTAATCTGTTTACGGACAATATCCATAGAATTTGAACGAGGTTGAATGACAATACCATGGAAAAGCTTCGAGCTTGGAACTTCATCTCGTTTCCACAGTTAATGGGAATCGACCATAAGTTTATGGAACCAATATAATTTTACTGTTGATAAATTTACAAGATATATATACATGTAAAAGTGTTAAAAATCCACAATAAGAATATTTATCACTTTCTTTGATCATGATTTTGATGAGGATTAAGAGCTTTCGTAGACACTAGGCCAGTGGTCAGCACTCCTTATTATTTCGTAAAGCTCGTATGTAGAGAAATCAAGACATGGATTAAAAAACTTCGTCGATCTATTTTACACAATGTGATTTCCATACTTTTATTATTTCAGATTCTTTGAGAGACATCGATATTGTCAAGATCATGGAAAGAGAGTAAGGTGATGTTAAATTTGTGTAAGTTATCATATGAGAGAAATACAAAATGGAGGACGACGTAGAAATAGGGAACAAACTTAGGCAATATCCATCAAGCTTTGACCTTTATGAAGATATTAAATCAATGTCCAAAGATTGTGATTGTCTTAAGAAACATATGGAAAGGTTAGTTAACGAGGTTGAATCCAATCCATACGACAATACCATGGAAAAGCTTCGAGCTTGGAACTTCATCTCGTTTCTAAGTTTCATTTTAGGCAATAAAAAGGATGCGTTTAAGTATAACTCAAAAGTGTTAGAGCGAAGCAAATATAATATTATTGGTTTATGTAATAAGGCGTGGTTTTTGTTAAAGATGCAAGAGAATTACAATGTTGTCCATGACTTATGTAATCAGCTAAATGAGAGTATAAAAAATAAGAGCAATATGTTGTTTGCAAAGGCAGAAAAGGCTTTTTGTTATTTATGTTTTGGCACTGAACGAAATGAAAAGTCTCGTCACTTATTTAAAGACGTTCTTTCTGAAATCCATGAGCAGAATATAGACTTTTCAGGTGAAACAGATGGTTCTGAGAATATGTTAACCCAAACAGACAATAACTGTGTCTTGAACTTTAGTTACGCCCTTACATACAAACGAGCGTTAAACTTGACTAAAACTCACGACGCATCATTATTCGATGTGTCCACACAGCTAGATATGATAAAGAAGGTTTGTAATATTTATAGTGATATCCTTCATTTTGAAGGAGACAGTTCATGTCTTAAACATTACCAGGGAAGATCATACGTTGAATTAGGGTTAATAGACGACTATATTGGAAAAAATAAGTCTGGATTTGAAACTGTAAATGGCATAAAGGATTTCTTATCTGACCGAGATATTTGGTTGAGTACCAACGAATTTTTTGAAAAAGCAGAAAGTTTTTGTCCAAATGATGTGTTTGTGTTAGAAAGATGTGGTACATATTTTCGAGACATACACGATACTGGCAAATCAATCTCTCTTCTTGAGAAAGCAATAAAAATAAGAGAAACCTCTTATTCCCATCATCATCTTGCACTTTCCTTTAAACAACAAATGGAACCAGATGACACTGATGTATCTGCCATGCTTAAACAAACATCTTTAGACATAGGTAAGGAAACATTATCAGCTGTTTCTAATATGTCAGTAGAAGATCATGATAAAAAAACACATATGGAACTAAAGGAACAAAACGCTTCAGCCAACTCTGATGATGGGAATGTTTCATCTAAAGTTGAAACCTTTAGAGGGCGCCTTAGTGGAAATCAACCTGACTTGAGAAGTAGAGATAATGTTTCGTTTAAAAGAGAAACCGATACAAGATGTCATAATGAAAATTTACGTTGCTGGGGAAGTAGAGGTGGCGTGTCATTTAGAGAGCCTCTTGCAGATCATCAACTTGGCTCGCGAAACAGAGGTAATTCTCCATTTAAAACAGAAATCATGAGAGAATGTAATAGTGAAAATCAACAGGGCTGGGGAAGTAGTGGTCCTCTAGGAAATTGTAACGAGGGAAATGTCGAAGGAATTTCGGATTCGGGGTCTTCGTACACCGCACGTTTCGGGATCAAATGTCCAAAAGAACCAAAGCTAATTAACAAGGAAAAACACAAAGATACCATTAAACAAATAATTTTTCATTTAGACAAATCGTTTGAATTGTCAAATAATTGTGAAGCTATTTATGACAAAGGATTACTTTACAGACAAATAAAAGAATATGACAAAGCTTTGGCTACGTTTAAGACTCTCATCAGAAACGAAGGTGGACACTGTTCGCTTGTACAATTATCAAATGCTTATGAACAAGCAGGCCTATGTCTTTACGACATGCTTTTTAAAGAAAAAAATAAAGTTTATGAGGTTGACATGAAAACGTATTTCAAAAAATCGATAGAAATATCCTGCTGGATTGTTTCGAAAATTCCGTTTCTTAAAGAATGTTGGGTGTCAGCCCCTACGTTAAAAGAGTTTATATCTGGAAAAGCAAAAACCGTTGAACAGCTTAAAGACTTATTCTTCTTGTCAAAGAAGTTTGAAAATTATAGCGAAGCGATAGAAGTTCTTAAAGACCTGAAAGAACTGAGTTCAGATGAAAATGAAAAGGTTAAATTAGATATACAGCTTGTTGAAAGCTACCTAAGAAGTGGAAATTATGATGACGCTGTACTTGCCTTGGATGCGATTGTTTGTCTACAAAATGGGTATGCACTTGTCGATGAAAAAATGTATTTGCAGGCTCACATTGAAGGGGGAATCGTTGCATGGAAACAAAAAACATTTGAAGTGGCAGGCCTTCGACTGAGAAATGCTCTTGATTTTTATAGACATCATCAAAATGTTCATGACAATGAATGCCATAAAAACGATACTGATAAAGAAGATGAAAACTTTGACGTATTCATTCTTTGCAATGAGAAAATTCAGGAAAAAAGCATGAGCTTAAAGCAAATTTTAACCGCTTTTAAGCTTAGAGTAACGATTAACTTCCAAGATTTGTTACCAGGAACTCCAAAAATGACCGGAATATGTCAACAATTTCGACATTCGAAACACTTTCTGCTTGTTATCGATGAAATACCATTAGACCGTATAGATTATCATTATTTTGAAATGATGCAAGAGGTCGTTTTGAATAGAAATTATGGTCATATAGTGATTGTTAAGACCTGTAATGATGCAAAGATACCTTTCCATCTTTCAAAATACCCCAGCATGGAAATGAATGTTCAGGCTGGTGAGGTTCTTGAAAACGAGAGTCTGTGTGAAACGATTAAAGCACTTCTGTTCAAGTTGGCTAGCAGCAAGTAAAGGGCATGAGTCAAAAGATTATTTAAATTAAGCACAATGGTTAAAATGATTTTTCATAAATGAGGCAAATTATATTCACAGTTTTGAATTATATAATTATGTATGTGCCAAGTCTTCATGGCGAGAGGCAAGCATACAGCACAAGTTAATAGATTATCATTATTGAAAAAGGTTTAAATAAACTGAAATATGTTGTGGAAAATTAAATTCACAGAGTTATGAACTGTGTAATGTATTGTGTGCCAAGTCTTCCTAGAATGTCAAAAAAGACGCACGGTTCTATTTCAGATTGTTAAAATATTTTTCTTGAATGATGCATTAGTACGATTGTACTCTGATTCTTTTTGATTATTGAAATTTACTTAGTTGTGTTAAGCGTTTTATGTTGCCTAATTTGTTGTATACCATCACTTTCCAGAATGTGAAAAGAGACATAGCTATAGATTATTCATTCTGCTGTTCATATCTTATAATGTCATCACCATTTCTATTTTCGTTTGTTAATTGCATGACTTTATCATTGATTTTAAAAGGCATTTTTGACTGAAAGAATATTGATTTCAAATGTTTAATACCGATATGCTAAGTTGTGGGGTGTTTTTTTTATTGTTTCAGTATATTAGATCATGATATAAGATAACGACACAATAATCACATTATATATTCAACGTTCAGTAAGATAACATTTTATCTATGTAGGTCATCATCATTGTAATTTTGCATTATCAATATTAGATAGTCAATTATATGCATGTAGATATATTTTAGTTAAACTTAGTTTATTTCATTTTTTAATTCACAAATTTTATGTATATCTCTTTGTATGCAATTGTAGTTAGTTTCGAATTTGAAATTAAACACATAAAAGTGAGTCTGTTCTTTCGACTTGGAGTGAAAGCATGCCTGTGATATCTTACTTTTGTCCATTAATTTATCAAATTTTGAACATTCTGGTTGTATTAACTGTTGATTTTTGCGGAAGGCAATGCTTTATTTTGTAACGAAAAAGAAAAACGAATGAATTGAATGTTCCGTGTGTCCGGATGAGTCGATATATTTTCAAGAGAAGTACACTCTATATATTACGAGTATAAGAAATTCAATATGTATATGTATTTACAACCGATGTTACTTATTTCACGTCTCGTGAAAAATATGGTTGTACAATTTTTTTATTAGCATACCAATATTTCTGTCCGAGGCATATTTCACAAATTATACATTTATGTTATTTTTTTGTATAATAGCAAGTGCCTTTGTCACTTTTCAATGTACTCCTTCCTACGAACATTTCCTGTTTTCTTTTCTTCTTTTTTTTTTCTTTTGATTTTATTGTTAATAAACGTTTAATCGTGTCTGTATTTTTATATTAAACAAGAAAATGTAAAATAAGTAATATATGCCGCGCTGCATTATCAGAAATGTTTAAAATATATGTTCTGGGCGTGTTTGAAGAAGGGCTTGTCATAACATCCAGATAATGTTGCTTACAGATGACGTTTTGATTTTCATCTGCTATTAAGTGGTGTTGTATATCCTTTTCAATTGTATGTACCGGCATTTTAAATGTGTTAAGCTTTTGTTTTAATTTGTAACTGTGATAGTTTTTCTAATAAAGGATGATGTTTTAAAACGGCGTCAAATATTTCTTATGAATGTCATAAGGTCGTTTCCATGTCATGATTATACTTCTATCAATAAATTAAACGTTGTAAGTTTATGGGATTTGTTTTTAACTAATATACCCTCAACAACATCGTTTTGTGTAAAGTCTTTTAACTAAAGTTGTCCTAAATCCTTATTTAATTAGTCCATTTAATATATATACATGTATATCCGTAAATGCATATAAACATAACTCAAGTATTTATTTCTTTGAACAAATTTGGTAGAGCTTCATGCAAGGAACACCCCTACCCCTGCAAAGTTACAACAAATTTGTCCAAGTGGTTTAGGAGGAGAGGTTGTTTAAAGAAATTGTTGACGCACGGAAGGAAGATAGACAACGGACAACTGGTCATCACAAAAGCTCACACTGACATTGTCCTCATGTGAGCTAAAAAGCATTTTGGTGCGGTTTGATTTATTTGAAATTAGAAAATTGAAGGCAAAGTATAAAGACTAAATGCTGTGAATAACTGAACGGATGTATACATACACGGATAATCTTAAGGCATCTAATTTTAGCTTGTAATCTAAATCTCAAGTATACCAAAGGCGGTACAAATAGCACTCACCCAGCAAACACATGACGTTAAAATAACGTCGGATTAATGTTAGATTTTGGTCATGACGTCGGCGACCAAAATACGACGTAAATCTGACGTTAAAATACCGATGTGTAATAGACGTTTCTTTTTGACATCGTACTAACGTCAGGTTCTGGTCGATGTCCTGACGGTAGGTAAAAAAAATAACAAAACATAATCCTTATTCGCTGTTGTAATCATTTAAACTTTTTTTCAAATGTTATTTGGATTACAAATGAAGTGTTCTTATATAAATACAGACCAAGATCGCGGCGCTGCAACCTAATGGCGCTGTATATAGGCAAGTTACATGTGTTATTGTTATGAAATCTATTTATAGCCACAGATCTGTTTACAAGTTCCAATCATTTAACGTTGTAATATTATCATTTGTGGTACATTTTATGTATCAAAATTACGAGTTTTTAATAGTGCTTTAACATTTAATCATAGTGACAGAAAAGGGAAAGAAAACATAATTAACCTATAATTCGAATCTAAAGTCACGTGGATGCGTGGAAATTCAAATTCGTAGGCGTTACGTTTTGGCTGTCGGTCAGGAATCGGGATGCATTGATAAGTGAATATTATAGATTTTCTTGAATAAAAAGGTCAGTTCAATTTATTTAGATTTATTTCTACTTTGTATTTAATAAATAATTGCATGATTGCAAGCACTCTTAAATTTAATTATCATTATTTGAACAGCTGAAGTAAAATGTCACACAAATTCGCGATAATGTCTAATAATAAATCTTTTTAAAATTGACATGTTTTAACTCTGCTTGTGAAGAGTTTATAATATGCCTTTCAGTTCTACCAAAGAGAATGCTTAGTTTTCATATTTTTCTTAAACTGTGATTTTTTTGTCAGTTTAAATCTGAGAATTGAAAATGAATTTATACGATTTCGAGCATTTCGGACCAAGACGTTTCGGTCCCAAATAACCCAAAACGTTCCGGTCCCAAATAACCCAAGACGTTTTGGTTCCAGACATTTCGGCATTAAATCTTTAATTCAAAACTATGAAATATTTAAGACTTGCGTAACTGTTCTATTTCAAACGTAGAATATATACATAAGTTAGAATATAATTTTCTTTTCAGGTAGTTAAAGTGTTGGACATGCTCTCAAAGGTCGGAAGGACGGAAACACGTGAATATGTAAAAAGAAACATATGAAAGTAAGATTTTTGTAAATTCTATTACATACTTTTATCCATACTAAACTAGAGTTTAAAAGCGGCTTTTTAAATGTTCAGTATTTATGATTACTTTTAATTTTTGTTAAAGCTCTCTTATAAAAAGTTGGCAAAATTGTTCATTAAGTTAAGATAACCATGAAAACATTTTTGCTTGTTATTTTTACATGTTTCATAAATTTCTCTTTTTTTCAGTGAAAATGATGTCACACACGCTATTGGGCGCTACAAACGCTACATATCCTCCGGACAGACAAGGGGTGCTGAAAAAAGGTCATATCTTAAAGCATCACACCTCAAAATTCGTGCTAATTCTCATGGATATCTAAAAGTATAACTTTGTGAAGTAACTAAAAGGCAGCAATTTATACATTACTGACAATTATCAAAGGAGGTCAAAATATGCAAAATGGCACTAAATGTTTTAGAAATGCTTTAGAAATATAGTTAAAGTACTGAAAATCATAAATTGCTTGAAACATTATTATCAGAATCTTTTAACTTTTCTTAAAATTATAATATTTTCATTATTTTATTTGATAAGGCAAAATTTGATAGAAATGTGCATACATTGTTTTGTTCTTTAATATTTGTACATGTTTTCTTAGTTTCATTTATGTCATTGCTTTTGTAATACTTTTTGTTTTGTAATTAACTTTAATTATTTTATGTTTTATTTTGTTTAATTTATGAAAATTAGTTAACCTTGCAGAATTTACTAAAATTGTATGTATCAGCTTAAAGTTGCAACTTTTATTTTAAATTAAAAGAGCATGAAACATATTTTTGCTTTTAGTTTTCTGTTATACATTTCATTTGAGGGAAAGTTACTTAATAGAATGAGTTACATTAAATTCGATCAAATCAGGATTAGCCAGAAAATATTTATGACGTGGTGAAACAAAAAAGATTAGGAGAATGATAAGATGAAAGTCAGAAAATGATAAGATTTAGGGCCGAAAAGGGTTAATATTTAGGTCGGAAAATGGTCAGATTGAGGTCGGAAAATGGTTAGAAACTGGTTAGATTTAGGTCGGAAAATGGTCAGATTGAGGTCAGAAAATGGTCAGATTGAGGTCGGAAAATGGTAAGATAATGGTCAAAAAAAGGTTAAATAATGGTTAGATTCTGACGTCTACCTGACGTCAGATTATTACGTCAAAAAAACTTTCAAATCCAACCGTTTTTCCGACCGTCATCCGACGTCAGAACCTGACTTAAATCTGACGTCAGTATGACGTCTTGTGTTTGCTGGGCATTTATACATGAAGACATTTTATTTTCAAATTCCAAGAGAATAAAAAAATCCATTTACCGTCAAGTCTAAAAAAGTGTGTTTTTTATTTATTCTTATGTTCTGTAATTGATTGAAAGAAAAATTCAATGTTTAAACCAGTTAAAATGTTAATAAAAGTTGATATTGACCGTTTACATGGGCGGATCAAACCAAGTGCCGTACGTTATTGTGATGCTGACCGGCTTAGTATAATTTTAAGTAAATGCCTAATCTAATAATACCAAGTTATATCACAAAGCAAACATTAATGCGTGCATACACACTATATCCACGGAATTTTCTGACCTTCATGCTCTAGAAATATGGGTAAAAGACTCAACCCTGATAAATATGAAGTTCTCAGGATAACAAGAAAAAGAAACCCTGTAATATTTCCTTACACCCTCCATAACATTCAACTAAACTCAACCCAAGAAGCACTTAGGAGTCACTATTAATCAAGACCTTTCATGGACCAAACATATAAACAATTTTACATCTAAAGCAAATAACTCCCTTAGGTTCATTAAAAGAGATGTTAACATCCCAAATAAAAAGATAAAGGAAACTGCATATAAGACTTATGATAGACCTCGGGTTGAATATTGCTCCATAGTTTGGCATCCTTGGCTGAAATACTTAATGTATAAGATAGAGCATGTCCAAATATCAGCTGCTAGATATATTCTTAATGATTATGGCTATACAAGTAGTGTCTTAAAAATGATAAATGATCTTAATTGGCAAACCTTTGCAGCGTCGAAACATCAGTGCTGTAACCTACTTGTACAAAATCCAAAACAACATTGTCAACACCTTACTCAAACAAGAAATCTGAACTAAATGTACCTGATACCCTACTCGAGGGCACAATACCATCAAAAATCTTTCTTTCCTATGAGCATACGTCTTTGGAATAGCCTACCTCTAACTGTTCAGTCCACGGACACTTGGGGTTTAGAGCTCAAAACGCCTTTAAAATCCAAATAAAATGCATATTTGTCAATCCCAGCACATGTACTGATCATATATTTCAAAAAACTTAATATAATTAAGCCGTTTTGAAAAAAAAATCATATTTCAACATATAGATAATACAACATATAGTTTATTATTATTAACAGCGTTTTGAGCTTCAAACTCCAAGTGTCTGTGGTTCAGTCTAGTCCCAGTTTAAACATCTTTACTGAGAGGCTTGGCCCATTCTATAAATTCTAAATTGCACGCTTTGTCTTTTAAATTAATAGTATTGTAGAACTTTTATTCTTTTAACTTTTTTAATTTGCATATAAATAATTTCTTTTATTGACAGTTCCCTGACAACACGCCTGCTAGTCATAATCAAGGTTTCAAGGTTTAGGTTTATTTGAATACGTCAAGGCCCATATGGGCATGTGACAACATAAAACAGTACATACATACAAAATAATACAAAATGGCAAATAATATGTAAAAACAAAATACTACAAAATGGCAAATTATAAATAGTCATACAACTTAATGATGTAATAAAATTACAGTGGAGGATGAGAGAGAAAAATCAAAAATCATTGCGAGAAAAAAAAACAAAGAGAAAAGACATAAATCTAATAAGCTAACATTATTTAAATAATAACATCATATTTTTGCAAAATATGGCAAGTTTCAAAAGGATATCTGTATTACTATGGTTCATTAATTTTTCAAATTTTAAAGCACTTGGATGTTCATAGAAATATTTTTCAAGATACAGCTTTCTTGTATTAACTAAATGTGAACATTCAAAAAGATAATGGAATTCGTCGCCTAAAGAGTTACTGGTACATAGATTACAAGTTCTAAGTTCTCTTGGAATATCATCAAACCTTCCTTTTTCAATAGGAAGTTTGTGATTCATACTTCTAAATTTAAAGAGAATTAAAGCTTAATTCATAGGTAACTTGCTGAGGTATGGCTCAAAACAAAAATCCTGTTTATAAATCCTGTAATTTAGACATTTACTGGAATTATTAATTGTACTTCTCCAATTTTGCATAAAATGATCACGCAGTCTTAAGTTGACAGTATTCTTGAATGAAGCAGGAGATTCCACATTTTGATTTATCCAGAAATGCGACAATCCAAGATCATTTAAATTATTTCGAACAAAACAGACCCAATCTGATTTAATATTATTCAGAGTATATAAATTATGAGTTGTTCTATATAGAATGCTGATTATCTTATCATGTTTAGAATTAACTATTTTACCCCAGTAATTAAGAACTCTACTTTTAATTTGTGTTGAAAGTGGGTAATACCCAACTCCCCATAATTCATAACATTTGGAGTACTCTGTTTCAACTGTAGAATTATCTTTAGGTATTTTAATTGAAATTTATCCACAACACTCACATCTTCAACACCCCAAACTTCACACCCATACAACAAAATGGGTGCTATCATTGTATCAAACAAGTGTAATTGCATATCTATTGGTAAATTAAGTATCCTAGATTTCCTAATTACAGAATTCAGAATTGATTGTTAAACAGTAAAATGTGTATATATAACGTAGAAGTTCTTGAATTATTAATCCCTTCCGTGATATTAAATTACTTTCATTTCATTCCGTATAGAAATGTACCGTGTATAGAGTTTATACAAGAAACAGGAAGTTCATCTGGCGCTAAATGTAAAAGCAACACAAGATTTTGTCGGTATTCTGATATATTTTTGCTCATACAAATTAATTAAATTTGCGCTAACATTATTTGTATCCCATTCATTTAGAAATGTTGTTTGCTAAAATAATTTGTGTTTGAGACTTAAATTGTGTTTAATGTGGTGAAAATTTCCTTGATAAAGTTTCATCATCAGCGATTTTTTTCCTTAAATCGTGACAATAATAATTATTGTGAAAAAAATATATTCAAATTGTGAATTCTTTTCTTTTAAATGAAAATTTATATATATCTACACGAAATTACTCAAATGAGCCTTTTTCAGATAGATTTCAAATTGAATTTACCACTCTAAGTCTTAAGGGGCATTTTTTCATCTGTTACACTAATCAGAACCTGACCCTAACGTGATACGCCCCTGTAAACACTCTATCAAAACTATTTGCGAATCAAATTGAAAGCAATTCAACTTTGGTTTGAATATGGCCAGTAAGATAATGTTTTAATTTTAAACAATACATCAACGCAATGACAAATTGAGATTTTAATCACTTTAATTAGAAAAAAATCAGGAAAAAGACACAATTGTAAGCTTAATATATGTAGATTGTGAATTTTTGCAGAATTTTGAACCAGGGCTCGACATTAACGGTTGTCTGACTGCCCGGGACAACTTAAAGTTTGGTCCAGGCAAGTTATTTTGAAAAGCAAGTGAAATAAAAAGCATCATTGACAAAATGCATGTACAAAATACAGCATGCGACCATGTGTATTAAGCGACGTTTGTCTTAAGCGGCCACTTTCAAATCCCCCCATCATTTTCTCTCTATATCTTTAATGTATTAAGAGACTTTTGCTCAATGCGACCAACGGCCGCTAATTAGTCAGCTAATTGAGATCAATCTTTTCATTAAACGACCACTTTTTCCTGTCAAGTAATTGTGTTTTTAGAGAACGCCACCTCATAATGTCACAAGTGTCAACAATCACAACATAATATATAAATGTGTGAAAAACTCTATTTGCCAATCCGTTTTAGTGTATGCAAATAAAGGTAAGTACCGTAAGTATACACGTGACGTGTATTATCCAATAATATTGATAAAACAATGCAACGCTCCGCCCCAACTCAGATGGTGTATACGCTTAGCTGTTGACATTTAGACTGCATTGAATTGACCTTGAACTTGATCAGCAATTAAATTAATTGTTACAATCAGATATAGTTTGTTTATTTCAAATGAAAAATGCACAACAGAAAAAAGCTTCACTTATCAGGGTTTTCGTGTTGGAGACAAGGAAATTCAACGGAGAAGTTTAAAAATTCTGGAAAAATGTCAAATATGTATGTAATGGATCAAAACTGATTTGTCAAATATCTGAAAGGTATTTTTTTACATTAGCATTAGATTACATTAGCTTATTGGAGCGTTCTAATTATTAAACATCTATATAAATGAAGTTGAAAAACATTTCCACAGCAAAAGAAAGATGTCATGTATAAATTTTGACTTTTTATCATGCTTTGCCCTTTCCCCCATGAGCATATTGTGAAAAATGGCCGTTTTCACTGAAAAGCCTCCTGTTACAAGTTCAAACTGCTATGAAACTATGAAAAATGCTTCAATACTAATCAAACTTGGCACAAATGTTGACTGGACCATTGCCTTTGTAACGACATGCTCAGTCTTAAATTTCCTGTTACCATGGCAACGAGGGGACATCTCAAAATTGCCAAAAATCACTATTTTGCCTCGATTTTTTTCCATTAAAATTTATTTCAAAGTGCTACAACTTCTCAAGGGATTGAGATAGAGTCTAAGGCTTTTCAGCGTTGGTTACACGTTTCATTATGATCGACCTGGGGTCATTTTTAGCCTCTCACAAGTCCAAAATTTTCCTGATGTATCTTTTAGATGGGGGATGCGCCGAAAAAATGTTCATTTTTTTTAGCAACATTTCTCAAACGAAAACATGTGTTTGGGGCCCAAATAGGACATTTTTTCACTATTTGAGGCCTAAAAAAAGGGGGGGTCGAAAGTGCGTTGTTTCGCGTATATAATATGAGGTAAAGGGTTAAGAGACCGTTTCATTAAACGACCGTTTTGGGTGTTTCCCTTGTGCGTTCGCTTAATACAAGTTTGACTGTAAATAGAAAAAACATCTGTAAATCAAAAATACACCATGAATTATTATCAATAATGTGAATACACTACGGTCATGTACATTTGTTGATATAGGAAACGGAAGCAAAAATGTGATGGGTAAGGTAATTCCCCGTTCTAATAATAGACTATATTTAATTTTGTACAAGGTAATTCCTGGGTCATGCTGTCGTTTTAATTTTGATGCGTGCATGTAAAGATATCATTGAAAATATGTATATAATCGTATTTATCTTTAAATATAATTGTTAAATAAAGTTTTTTGCATTAAAAATGATTTATTGATTTATCTAATATAACAACATTATGAACGTAGTCACGTTTACAGCTGTTGACATCAATTTGTCGTTATTAGCCTGGATGATGATTGATGAACTGATGTTTTAGATAAACTACTGAATACAAAAAATATTTGTGTCTAACTAACAATCAATTTCATAAACAATATGTCTAGTTTATTGCCTTATGTTAACATGACCTAATACATGACCTAATACAAGAAGTAATAATGTATGATCTTGTTTTTCTTTTCTGATAATATACATTTTTACCACTTTTAGGTCAGGACAAGTAAGTCTTAGGTCAGGGCAAGTAGTTTTAAAAACTACTTGCCCGACAGGACAAACACTTATATTATATTTATAAGACCACACCTTGAATGTGGGAATATTATTTAGAGTCCAAGATTTAAAAAAAGATATTGAAGCAGTTGAAAAAATTCCCAATTGAAAGTTAAATTATAAAAATATTGAATAACAAATTCTAAAATCTTTGCAAATAAGGGCTTTTTCACTGTAATAGTGCTTAAATGTTTGAAGATGCCATCCTAGACAGGAATTGTTTGCATCCATTTAATCACTGCAAAATTTCAGTCATGCATTTTTCCCCAATTTTTAACAAAACACCGCTGAAATTCCCAATTCCATGGGTATGGGTCATGTTCCCAAAATCCCTGCTGAAGAAATTATGTTGTGTAAAAAGTTAAAATTAGCTGCAGACATATTATAAAGGCTAGCCTAGGGGTGATATCAGGAAGATATAGGTTATAATATATTTTTTAAAAAAGCACCACAATAATTATTTGGTGTCAGACCTTGAGGGGGTTACAAGAGATTGCTGATCTTGCTACCCTACACTGGATAAAGTACTGGGGCATTGATTATAGTCACTAGATCTATGCACAAAAAAAATAGAAATGTTAGAGTAAAATTATAGGGTCACTCGTCCTGCAGGTTGAGTGACCCTAGAAAAATTTGAGGCCCGAAAACCTCATTTACCTCATATCAATGAAAATGTTCTTCATTGATAAGGGGTAGAAATATAGTATTTTGTTTTCTTGACTGGCTCAGATTTTCACTTACTTGTCCACAGACAATTTCAATGGAAAGATTTGCTTCTCCGCCAGTATATATAAATAGGACAAGTCGAACATAGGATTTCCACACCCATGATGTTTTAACTATTTCTTTTATTCACTTTACAATTGACATATTAAAATTTTCATGAAAATTAGCATGAATCTGGAAGCATTCTGCTTTAAAGGTAATAATCCCCACTGAAAATATTGTGTAATTATACATTAAATATGTAAAGGTAGATAATTCTTGTTACTACTCAAATGATCAAATCTGTCTTGTATAAGTTCTTTCCCCTTGGTAACTGCTCTTCATTAGTACAAGAAGTTGATAATTTTCTTGACATTTTAATCAAAGTTCATAAGGATTTTTTAAAACACTTTGGTCCTTTTTTTCATATCATCTGGCCAAAAAAGAGGGTAAAAAACAAACAAACTGAACTATCTTTTTTTTTGACCTCAGACTTCCTAAAAGGTCCAAAAGGTTCACAAAAGGTGAGAGGGGGGGGGGGGGAGGGAGTGTAAAAAAAAATAATTTTTATTGGTTGATCAGAAATAGGGGAAAGTATAAAATGTGTGAGGGAAATGGGACCAATTTTCAAACTTGGTCCCCTGCCTGAAAATTTTTATTACCCAGTGATTTTTCTCACTTAATTGGTAAAAGGCCTTAGCCTCTTGATTTTGGGAAAAATTATCGCTAAAATGACTGATTTGGGAAGAAAAAAGCTGGTTTAAGTTCTGATTTTTGGGAAAACTACATGATTTTAAAGAAAATTTCAATTGGGAAGAGGCCTTTTTTCAGAGTCTGTTATAAAAGTAAGAAAATCACTGTTACCGGTATATACATGTATATTATTGTAGTACCATTTGACAAAATACATGTATGATTTCGAATTTATTCAAGAATCTTTGGGAGTCGTGGGGTTGAGCTGAGAATTAAAGTAGTGAAATTCAAAAGACAAATGGATTGCCCCTTTCACATAACATGCAAAACTGACATGATCTGTATATCAAATGTATATAGATTAAAACAGTGTTCAGTGATTAATTAATAATCAATTGATTTACTCTGGCCGATTAACCCTGACACTGTCATTCATTGAATAGGTTTGATAAGATACCATTTTAAAGTTTGTCATTTTTGCCTTTTCTTTACCTGCTGTAAGTGCCTACGTGCATTAATCCATGCTTTAGGAGAGACATAGATAAAGTACAGGAGAGCTGACGTGCAGTATAACCGAGACATTGATTTACTGTCAAGCTGCGTGTATTAAGACATCTGACTGGGTTTTGCTAAAGAAGTGACTTGTACTTAAGTAAACTCAGTAAAAATTATATACATTACAATATTTTGTGCAACAAAATATTGTACATCCTAGCTAGGTGTCTTTTATAAGGACTTAAAATCTCTCCAGGTGGTATTTGAACAATGATAAAAAATCTGTATTTTGAAAGCATTTAATTTTATAAATTTCTTCTGAAAACTGAATGTTTAAGGCTACATAGAATGTCT